TTCATTATTCAACTTAAATATTTGGACATTTACTTTTTTTAGCAAGTAATTATAGATTACTGATAATGATAATTGTGAATGTGTAGATATCCCACTGTAAAAAAATATTGATGGTTTAACTTAAAGTAAGTAACCTGGTTGCCGTAAAATTTTAAGTTCATTGAACTGGAAAAAGTGAGTTAATACAGTGAAGGAGAATGATTTAATCATCAGAAACTCAAAATTATATGTTATCTGAACTAAATAAATTATTTAAGTTGATTTGACAAAAGAAAAAATGTTGTGATTACTACAGTGTAAAAAAAAATATTGTTGGTTTAACTTAAAAAAGTAAGTAACCTGGCTCGCCTTAAAATTTTAAGTTGATTGAACTGGAAAAAGTGAGTTAATACAATGAAAGAGATTCATTTAATCATCAGAAACTCAAAATAATAAGTTATCTCAACTAAATAAATTATTATTAAGTTGATTTGACGAAAGAAAATATGTTGTGATAACAAATCTTGAAAATATTTTTTTACAGCAGGCTAATCTCCTATTTGGCTATCTGCATGCTATGCTAGTACATAAGCTAACTAAAACAGACATTTTGCCAGAGAATTTAAAAGAGGACCAATTTGTCACTACCTCAGTACTGAATTCAAGTGACCGCAAATCTTTCCTGGTTAGGTCTTATTCAAACAAACTGGGAACCGTTATTGTGCATGTACATACAGTAATTAAGCTTGTGAAAAAAAGTTGTTGATATAGAATCAGAATATGTCTACATGGTGTATCAAATACTTTTTTAAGTCTGGTTTTTGATTACATGTTCACTTTATAAACAAGAAAAAAAAAATCAAGCTGAAATGCTGTTTACGTTATGGTGACCGACGATAGCACATCCTTCGTAGCTCCATCAACACAAGTTATAAATAAATGGGCCAGTCAGTCCCATTGCACCCATTAATTCAAAACTGTCCCCTTCCAATCAGAGACAGATTCATTAAACAGCAATCAGTTGAGTAGCTATCAGGCAGCTTCTGCATCCCACAACCATGTGCTCTGTAATCAATTTAGAGGAAGGGGAGAAGATCTTTATCAACAGTTCAGCAAAAAGCCATTTATGAAAGTTGGCCAATCCAGGAGATGTAATCATGCTCTGTTAATCAGTTAATATTTCATGGCATTTGTAAGGGAAGAAGTCAAACATTAAGAGCAGAATTATCAGCACAATTAGCTGGCTAATTAAGTATATGCTCCCTTCTTTATGATAGGGGTTCGTATTCTGTAGACACTATAATTGAAGTTCTCAAAGAAATTCTTTATTCATTCTTGCTATGTGGCTAAAGAACACAAGTTTTGCGCAAACACAAATTGCTGTGTTTATTTGACTGTTTTATTTTCACCCTAGAGTTGTCAACAGCCATGTTTTATTAGATCTAAGATCTAAGTAAGATGTTTTAAATAATAAAAAAGAGAAACTATTGTTATACATTATTACTACAAATAATATTTAATATGAATCATACAACAGTTTGAGTTTTTTTCGAAAACGCTTTCTGCAAGATACATCAATATGCCAGGAAGTGGCGACATGTGGCTGTTTTTATGATTGAGTCACTTAGATGATTTGTTTAAATGATTCATTCATTTACGAATTAAACTAGTGACTACTCTTTAGGTGTGTCGATTTTTGCAGACCGACTGGTGTATGACATCAAAGTTCAGTTGATCTGTGCAGTGACGTTTCATGACGAACTCACTAGTGAGTCAGTGAATCGTTCATTCAACTGATTTGTTCAAAAACACTGATTTGTTAGACGTTAGGTGACTTTAGTATTATTTTTATTGGTAGAGCAAAAACTGTCAATATTGTGCCTAAAAAGGTAGAACTTTGAACTAACTTCTTGTTTGTTAAACTGTTTTGATAATTCATTCATTTTTGATTAGGACCAGGACTGGTACACGATTAAAGGTGACCTATGATGCTCCTTATAATAAGATGAAATATAAGTCCTCAGAATGTGTCTGCGAAGTTTCAGCTCAAATTACCCCACGGATCATTTTTTAACCATGTTGTAAATTATTTTTTTTAGTGGATTATTTATTTTTCGTGCATTTGTTTCTTTAAATGCAAATGAGTTGCTGCTCCCCACCCATTACTCAGAATAATGCTGTGTCTTTACAGCTCGTGGCCCGGATACTCTGCCAAAAACGAACAAAACATTTGTTTGGTTTTGATTATCATCTATCATGGTCATGCTCATGTGACATTGCAGTTTTTCTTCATCATTAAAGTTTATTTTAATTTGCATGCACTTTCAAGCCATATCAGTTTAAACTTCTGATATATGATTCAGACGGCGTGTCAGACGGCGTGTCCCGTGAGTATTAAACTAAGTTCTCTTTCACATCTTATTGTGCTTAAACTGTCAAATACACATAAGGTTATATAAAAACACACAAAGTTCACATAAACACAGTCGGTTATGTCTATGAACGTAAAGCAGTGAAAGAAATTGCACGTGTATATTAGATCTGTGTATATAAAGTGACAGCAGCATAATACACAGCTGTCAATGGACACTATGGATGCATAATTATGTTTTAAAAAAACGATATAAAAGTGAATTTTGCATACCCTTTGAAATAAAAATCTGCATGACACCCACAGTGTCACAGTGTTGTAGTTAAACTCTATTCGGGCTACAATGTAACTTAACTTTTAACAAAAGCATTGAAGCCACACAACCTTGCCCCAAACCAAACTAACAGCATGGTACAACAAAGTCCCGATTATGGATCACTGAATTCACCTTAAAAACAATAACTTTCAACACAGTTCTTGTTATGTAAAGAAATTAACCACATGATTCATGCCATGTCAGGTTCAAGATAATGCGAGGCAAGGGGACACTTTTCAAGAATACTGTGTGTGCATGTTCGTATTAGTGGAGTCATTCAAGAGTAAAAGACAGGGCACTTGTTCTATTTCATAAGGAGCCCTTCTGGAGCCTGTGACTCAATGGAGCGAGTCATGGACCACCTTTTATACAGCCCTTCAATCAGATGATCTAGTCTGTCTGAGAGTAGCTGTCAGGATGGATCAGTGTAAGAAGTGTAGCCTATGTGCGTGTGTGTTCAGATTTCTTTTTCCGTGTGTGTGTGAGATGCAGTCCAGTTCAGGTCAGAGAGGCAGACAGACATGGTAGAGCTCAGCATATCACATGATCGGTGTTCTTAAAACTGTTCGAAGAAGGTCTGGGCTAAATATTCAGCTAGAGGTCAAATATACAGGAACCGCTGTGTTTCCTGTTCCAAGAAATGTAACATTCAGGAGATATAAAGAGCTTAAAGTTGGCATTACATTTTCTAAATGTGCCTTAATGATCTCATTGTGATTCATTCATTTTTTCTTTTTCCATATAATTTATTCAAAATGATGATGTCAAAACTACATCTTCCAGTGAAACAATAGACCAGTATGCTGGATTTTCCCAATCATTTAGTCCACTTCAACCCTGCCCCTGTTCTTGCAATCTACTGCAAGTTTGCATTAAGATCTGCCTCCATCCAATCAACAACTGATGGACGGAACCAAGTCCTGCTCTACATTATTTCTTTTTCGATAATCCAAAAATATACATCACGATATGCAATACATTATCGGCCAATACCTCTGTTACAGACTATAGCAAAATGATTGAACGATCGATCTTAAATGGAATAGTTTACCAAAAAAGGAAAATTATGTCATAATTTTGTCATGCCGTTCTACCATGAAACACAAAATAAGATGTTAAGCAAAATGCTAATATTAGCAATATTTTGGACCCACTCTCATTTACTTTTATTGTATGCAGGGTTAACTTTCTGCTTAACATTTCCTTTTGTGTTTAACAGAAGAAAATCAAATGGGTTTGGAACTACCCTGACAGAATTTACATTTTTGGGTGAGTTTTCACTCTTTAAAGTTGGCATGAAATTACAATTCTATCTATAATCTACATGCATATTCATCCATATGTTTCATTTTTAATTTTGCTTTATCAAAATCTCATAACTGGAATTTTCTGGTGAGAATTTGGTGATATACTGTATGCAGGAATTCTCCAATAATTTATTCAGCATACCTCCGGCTCTGCAAGCCCATGTTCATCTGTCACCATTTTTGAGTGCAACACCCAAAAATCCAACCGACAATCAATGACTGAAGATAACCCATTACACCTGAATCTATGTCACAATAAAGAAGAAAAGATCTGTTGCTACTTCCGTTTCATCGTGACTTTTCTCCCATGTTTTATCACCAATGTGTTGAACAGCTTTTCATCACTACATAAGATAGCTTTAATAAGCCATGCCGCCTTTTGGATCTGTATCTATTGTGAGAAAATAAGATGCTGAACTGAAAATATGGGAAGAAGAAACATAATAGTTATCTGCATTTTGTCAATAGGTCATCATAAGCAAATCATACCAGCAGCAGCAAAACCACAAATAGGCTTTCATAAGAAGTGAAAGATTCTCCCTTGCCTCTAGGTGTAAACTCACTCCTTAGAGCGTTTGCAAATAAGGAGAAAGCAGCGGCGATGAGAGCCCTCAAGCTGAATTTCACACCTGAAGTGGCCTACATGGATAATTGGGTTGGAGGGGCCTAATTCAAAATCTTGTAATGCAAGTCGAGGGAATTGCTTTTCCACTGGAGCATTCTAGCATACCTACCAATCAAATTGCCTTTGTTCCTATGTCTCCATGAGGTTTTTACTGTGCCACAATACATCTAAAACTATCTAAATGGGAAAAAATATTGTTTATTTTTAATGTTCTTCTCCGTTCTTTTCATGCTCTTTGACTCTTGAACTCAACCGATCAACCAATCAAAAGTTTTTCGAATCCTGTTTGAAAACTATCATTTTTGTGACTCTGAAATGAAATGAACTTATATTTCAGCTTTACAGGAGTGATTTTTAAAATGAAGTGCTGGCGAATATGTGAGTAATATCATTTAACCTTACCTTGCCCTCATGGTCTTCAAATACTGATTGGTCTACGTTGCAGGCGAAGAGGGACATGGGGAGATCATTGAAGTCGGTGATTTGTTGGAAACTGTCTCCCAGTGAGGACTCCCCCACGGTGGACTGCAGGACTACCAGCTCCTCTCCTCCAAGGAGGTAAACCCGCTGGAGGAACGGAGCACTTCTCATGTTGGCAAATAAATGCTCTCCCTTCATGGCTGTAAGGGGTACACAACCATTTCTAATATCATCAATTGCTTTCAGGATATATTCTACAATTTACAGGCCACTTACAATGTTTTCCATTGACATGTTTGCTTTTTGGCATGACTAAGGTCACTAACGATGAGAAATATATGGTTCCTGATCAAAATCTTTCAAAACAGTAACAGCAAACAAACAAAAACAGTCAATACTCAAAAGTACAAAAGTTTATACTCTTAAATATTATTTAATCCGCATGATTTTTTTCAATTGTTTACAGGCTGTACACTTACTTACTACATTGATGAAACAGGAACTGGACTGACTAAAAACCGAGCTAAACTGAAGAAAAATCAATCAATATCATTCAACTATAGCTATACAAAGGGTCAGTAACAGTAAACACAAACAAATAGAGGCAATAATATATGTGTGTACTCATATATTGTTTAAAACATTATTTAATTACAAAACAGGGAAAACTATAAAAAAGCTACTTAAAGTACCCTCACGTGAAATATATAAATCCTTGTCTTGCTTTAAGATATTTATGACCTGTATTTTCTCTGTCCACCCTGCAGGCAGCATAGGAAGCGCTTGTCCTCACGACAGGTGACACGGAACTAGAACAGTTACCTCCCAGAACCCCATCGAGCAGATGTTAACCCCTGGCCTCGGTAACTAACGCTCCACCAAAAGATTAGGTGATGGGCTTAAAGCAGAACTGGTCTCTTGTCAGCCCACACAAACAACAACGGTAAGTGGGGAACAGCTTGCACCCATTTCCATAGAGCTTTTCCACATGCCCTTTCTTCCCATGATCCCCCCTGACAAGCTTGGTCCGTGGGCAACCGCCAGCACTGTCGCCGGTGTCACACGCACTGTTAAATCTCCCGCAGCTATTTTTGGGATCAATAGCCCATCACCAGCCACACATACACGCTCTCTAACACACGCATGCTCTCACTTTCACTCAAGGCTATAGATAGAGGCTGGAGCTGTCTGGTTCATTCTTGCCCTGTGTAAACGAGGCTAAAAATAGAACGAGGACTAATGAAATGCAGAGATTGTGAGGAACTTGATTAATATGAAGACTTCCAGACAGGGATCAATTTCATTTGCAATATTACAATGACCCTGAATGAGATAAGGATGAGCATAAGCATGCTATTGGCGCTCAGATTTAGATTTTTAGTGCCTTTAATTTTGGAAATGGTATTTAAAGCTCAGCCAAAAAGTATACTGTTTAACTAAAAGCTATAGACATGTTTGCTTGTTGGCATGACTAAGGTCACTAAACATTCGGAAATGTATGGTTCCTCCTCCTAACTCACCTAATGAATAATCAATATCATTCACCAAATCTTCATTTTAGCCATACAAACTAAAAGGGGAAAACAGTAACAGTACACACAAACAAATGCAGTAAACCAGTATGCTATTAAATATTGTTTAATCAACCTTCATTTTTGAATACCCTCATGTATGCTTTAATATTGACTTTCTGACCCCAATTTTTTGTGTGTATTATCTCTATACATACATACTCAAACAATTATGTAACCAAGCTCTTAATTAATTAATCTCGTTTGCCCAATCAAATTCGTTTTATTTTCATGACCTAATTAAAACCCATTCTACAGATGTTAAATTGGGCAATTTGGAAGGTTATTTTCAGAAATATGATTGTTTTCCAATATTGTTTTTTATGTGGTCAATCTGAGATGCAGCATATTCTGGAAAAACTGCATTCAACAATTATAAATAGATAATTGGCTAGTGTGCACTGCACACTAATCAGAAAATTATTTTTCTTCAACTTATTTTTAAGTTAATATATATATAAAGGACCCTGGTCCCTGGTCCTTAAGAAAATTATGTATAACGAAATACTCTAATAGTTATTATAGTGTATTATAGTATATTACAGTGTACATGACCTTATTAGTTACAACTAAGAGATTTTAAAAGCCTTTGGGTACAAACAGTGTCTGTTTAAAAATAAATAACTCTGTATTATATAATATGCATTGTTTGTACAGTGCATAAAGGGCAAAATGAAAAGGGTAAGTGTCAATCACAGTCTACTGCAACCTGTTTGCTGCATCCCCTTTGAGTCATCACTAGAGGAGCGGTCCCTCTGTCGTCATCACCTAACATTCACTTTTCTTCTGTTCGCAATAAGGGTTTATTTTTATCTTATACCATGGTCTGGGTGAATACTCGATTCTGATTGGCTGCAGGGTGTCCGTTAAAAAGTGATAGAGGACACCTAGTAAAGTAGTTCTGGTGAAACTGCCTGTTTACCATTCGAAATGAATAAATAAATGCGCTGCCTACAACGGCTGTGAGTAACCATAGCAACAGGCAGTCACATGCTCTATCATCTAACGTTAGATATTATAGCCTAATACAACAATGAGCGACTTCGTGCTATTTCTTTTAACATTTATGGAGACTATGGCAACTTTGACGACTGGTATGCTGCTTAAGAAAGAAAAAATGTAAATAAAACGGAGAAAATTACACCGCTGCTGCTCTGCTCCATTGAACGCTATTGGTAACGACGTAACTTGCGACCATAGTTGGATAACGATGCTTTCGGGAAACGCACCCCTGAATGAGAGAGACCCTGCGGGAGTTTTACGCAGCTGTCCAGACAACCAAGGCAGGAGAAGGCTGAACGTTACAGCGTTTCAAGCCTAAGGAGCCTGAGGCAAATGACCCTCTCTTTGATCTGATTAATTTATTGCCCATAACGTTAAGCGCAAATCGCTGGAGCTTTTTTTATTGTTGTTTGATTAATTGTTTTATGTGTAATAAAAAAAAACTATGCCTACCTACCTTTGTGTTTCATGAAAAAAAAAAAAGCATTTGTGAACCTGAAGGGATACGAGCTAAGCGGACTATAAATATCTCCGGTTGCTAAATAAACAGTCAGGCAAGGCAAGTTATTATTTGTAAAAACTAGATTTAGCCTAATTAAAATATAAACTAATGTTTTAAAAATGTTTTATTTGGCAAGTGACCATGGTATAAGCGGGTTAATGCCCTTCGAGGTGTCCATTGTCAGGTTTTAATGGACTTCGGCGGAGGCAACCGTCCTCCGCTGCGCGTCGGCCGGTTTACGCCTCGCCGTCGTCCATTAAAACCTGACAATGGACACCTCGTCGGGCATTAACCCTTACATGTCTCTCCGTCTGATGACTAATATAAAAAACCCTTATGGTGAACATGCCACATCAACATTTCAATTCCAGCAACTGTCATTAGAGCACACCACTGTCAAGGTCAAGGAGTGCACTTCATAAACTAGGCTACTATTACAAATTCAATAGCATCATCAAATGTCTTGCATACTCTTTTTAAGATTGTAAGACTGGTTATTGAAGCATATCTGTCTACCAATGCAGACTTTCTAAGTCCCCATAAACTCGTGTAAAAGTATTTTTTTTTTAAACTGACATGCATGCAGGATTAAAGCAGTGCAGAATAAAGTAAACACTATAGTAGTATACACTATAGTTATTACTACATAATATATAGGCTACTATATGTAGAATAGTAAAAACACTTATAAAACTGCATTCATTTGACACTCTCTCGTTCTCTGAGCATTTATAAAAGCAGCAACACCTGTCAAAACAATACAGTAGCCTACAGATACAGGATGATATAATGGAGCAAGTCGACGCGGTTCTCGGTACCTGTGCGGGATGTGGCAGTCCGGTGTGCGTATCTTCTGCGCGGTGGCTTTGTCTCCCTCTCTTGCCTTTGTGAATCAAGCTCGCATTCCAGCTGCGATTCACTAATCTCCTGACGTTACTGCAGACAGCTTGATTCACCAATGACCGCCTCCCGGCATTCAAATGATGTTTGCTCTAACCACTAATGAAATGCAGCGCTGCGTGCGCGGGGGAGATTCTGGGACCAATAGCCTTCTCCTAAAAGCGAATATGTAAATTCACCAAACTACGTCAGAGGTTTCGCCAGTTAGATGTTGCGGCGGCGCTATGACACGTTCAGCAGGTTGTTTTTAGTAAATGTGGTGCAGGGCAAAGCAGAGACTTCTTGAAATAAATTCTGTCAGAATCGAAAACACTTGAAGCATGGGTTGAATTGTGCGGTGAGTTGAATGCGATAAAATGTGATAGTGTTTGTGGGTATCTAATTATAGCCTATAGTAAAAAAAAGAAACCCTGCTGAGAGAAACAATTGGAGTTGGTTTGCTGTTTTTTATTTTGAATTTATTTTTTAAATTTATTTATTTAGCTGAAGATCAGATTTGCCAGGCTAGGAAAACAGCTTGTTGTTTTATTATATTATTTCTTCTTATTGTAAGGGCCTAATATTAACAACATTTCAGCAGTGATTTATTTAACATAATTTAATGCTTTTTTATTTACTTATAGGTCAATAGCTCAAGTAAAATCAGATTTTATGTGGCTGGCTAGATGTATTTAGTGCTCATGCTAAATATTAATTTATATAGCTATGGCTCTATTCAGTTAAACAAGGTAACATCACCAGTTTACCTCATTAAAAACTAGCTAGAGGGTGAAATCACATGATGAAATATATCATCTTCATCATACATGACCACCACCCTCTTGATGTGAAAAGGGAAGTTTCTGTGTAATTTTTCTATTATTGATCATGCACTGTAAAAAAAAGTGTTTTTCTTTTGTCAAATCAACTTAAATAATTTATTTAGTTCAGATAACTTATTATTATTTTGAGTTTCTGATGACTCACTTTTTCCAGTTTAATCAACTTAAAATTTTAAGGCAACCAGGTTACTTAATTTTTAAGTTAAACCAACAAATTGTTTTTACAGTGTGTTAATGAATGTTGAATTACAAAACTTGTATCATCTGTCCAGCACACAGTTGTTTTTAGAGTTTTTGTATATTTTATTTTTTAATTGATTCTTCTTAGAACAATAATGTCAAATGAAGTGCTTCTGCTGAACATCTCTGGAATGTTGTAGGCTATTTGATGTACCTCCCATGATTTTGCAAAGTAGGACACATTTCTGGATCCAACATAGTTGGTCCTGGATGAACATTCCTATCCTATTCAATAAGATTTTAATGTTAGGCTATGTTTGTTTGACAGGAATTTTGTTCCACGATCAACAAAAGATGATGTTCGCATGGCAAAATCAGTCACATGGTTGGTAAAATGGAAATATAAAGAAAAAGGAAACTTCTGCAGCAAAACATGTTATTTATTGAAACACAATTAAACTTGTCCTTTATTGAAAGAAACACAGTCCTTCCAAATGTATACAAATCCGATCAAGTACATCATCATATTTAATTAATGTAAACATTCTGTTTGCCTTACAAATTAAAGATGCTTGCACCCAAGCACATACAATTGCTCAATAACTTGTCTCATGTAATGTTTTATCCAAAAATGAGTGTACACAGATGCAGTGAAGAACTTACAGACTATTAGACAGATGTGTTTATAGAAACAATCCTTTTCACCACTACAGAAAAGAAGCACAGTGTTTATACATGTAATAATGTGTTTACATATTTCTGTAACCTCCACTTAGTTAAATTGTCTATAAACTTTGTCTTTACTTTGTCCATATCATGCACAAGATGTTTAGCTGTAATATGCGGTCGCATACGGCATCACATTTTGTTTACTTCATACATCCTGAAAATGATGTAGTCTCTCAGTTCGAGAGAGGAATTTCCACAACCTCATGCTTTCTGACATATATAAGCCATCAGTTATGGTTAACCCAACAAAACTGTAATATAAACAACTAATATCCTAAATTACTGTACCTTTAGCATTGTCTGACTTTCTGATTTAGTATTAGCCTGTGTCCAAGTCACTGTTTAACATTCAGCGTAGAAGCTCTGAAGCTCAGCCCAGGATATTATGCGGTTGATCTCCACAACCCTTATGTCAAGACTGTCAACAGAGCTCTAAAGCAGTAGCACAGCCCTCTGAACCCATGCGCTCTATCTGTGCTTGTATCTCACTGTACAGGGTCCATCTGGCTGCTGGGTTCCCACCAAATGCAGAGGGCTCTACAAGAAGCAGATACATATATTTACCAAGTGCAATGACCACATGCATGTGATGTACAACCCCTGTAAGTATTTTACAATGTACACTGTAAAAATCATAATTTATTTTCTTCTGTCAAATCAACTTAGATAATTTATGCGGTTCAGATAACATAATATTTTTATCTCCTTCATTGTTTTAACTCAATTTTTCAATTTCAATGAACTTAAAGTTTTAAGGCAACCAGGTTACTTATTTTTTTAGTTAAACCAACAATATTTTTTACATTGTAGGAATTTATTGCATTATTTAAATTTCTAAGCATTTTTAAGCGTTGTATCCAAATCTATATAACTACACCACCTTTCAAGAGATTTTTTTTAATGTTTTTGAAATTAAGTTTTATCAAAAATTTCAGTAACACTTTACAATAAGGTTTCATTAGTTAACTTCATTAGTTAACTTGAACTAACAATGAACTGCACTTCTACAGATCTTTGTTAATGAAGGTTAATTTAAACATTTACTAACACATTATTAAAATCAAACGTTGTATTAGTTAACATTAGTTAATGCACTGACATGAACAGCTGGATTTTTATTATCAAAGATGACCACATACAGTAACAAATGTGTTGCGACATGGTTAGTTCATGTTAGTTAATACATTAACTAATATTAACAAATGAAACCTTATTGTAAAACGTTTCCAAAATTCCAATATCAACAAGTTATCAAGTTGCTGTAAAACAGAATTTTTTTGACTGTATACATGTATATGACCCATATATGAATGCATGATTCACGCTCCTGGAATGAACTTGGTCATTGGTGGGCAAAACTTACAAAGTTATTTTTGTTCAGACCCAAGAATTGCAAGGGTAAAGAGCAGGATGGTGCTTAAGCATTAGATTGGGCCCTTGTTGGGTAAATACTGCCATAGGAACACATCTGGAAATGATTAACCTAATGCCTACTTTGAAGCCATCTCTTTCAAGGCTTATTTACCATTCTCTATTGGATGTTACTCTTTCTTATGGCTGCTTACCGGTTTAGGCACTGGATCCAACAGGGTGAATTCAAACTTGTGGAGGATGAGGGCAACAAACATATGCAATTCCATAATGGCATACCACCTGATGACACAATAAACAACAAGTGGTTCATTTTCATTTTCATGTGCTCTTTCTCATTAAGAAACATTTCTAGGAACAAACTCGTCACTCTGAAGTGCTCATCACTTCACAAGCCGGCTTGAATAGCATGTGTATTAGTATTCTGATGGTATATTGCATGATGTCTAGCTGCCTCCCTCCCTCGAGTGCTGCTGAATACTGGGAAAACTGTGATTGAAATTGCAGGTAGAAAAGCAAAATGTGAATGAATGTCTTGTATTGCGTTCAAATTCCAGGTGCATTCATCATAGCCACAGTGGCCTTGTTGGGCGGATGGGAGAAGAGGAATATTAGATGCAGCCGAGTGCAAGAATGAAAGATTCCTGGGTGAGACAGAGAAAGGAATTATGCCAGGCAATAAAGGGAGGGTGAGAGATGCAAGTCATGATTCTTGAAATAATCATCCCAAATAACCTTGAGGGCCGTGACTCATTCAGGGGCACTGTGTTACTGACGCAAGTAGCAATCCTCTAAAATGATCAAAATCAAATCATATTGAGTGAGAAAAATGAAATACGTGGGTGTGCGTGTGCCACACTCAGTGTACTAATTTATGGCCATGTCCAGCTGAGAGATCTGTACAAGCCTGAGAAATTATTACTGAGCCGCCTTATGACAATGTGACTTTTGAATGCAGGAAGTTGGTAAGCATAGATTGAATATTTCAATGGCATTTTAAATTATTTCCAGAGAAAATGTGATTGTGATGTTAAAGGGGTCATCGGATGCCCATTATCCACAAGTTGGTGTGATTCTTTAGGGTCTTCATGTAAAGAATGTATCATTTGGTTAAAATTTTAACTGATTCAAGCTGATAGAAGAGCAACTTTGACTGAAATAACCAACCGAGGTATGCAGCAAAGCATTTTTGAAGCCACAATACGCACAACCTTGAGGTGGATGGGTACCACTCTGGGTATCATCTCCACTACAAATAGTAAAAAGAGGCTACAATTTGCAAAGACTGGAAAAATGTTGCCTTGTCTGATGAGTCTCGATTTCTGTTGAGACATTCAGAGTCAGAATTAGGTGTAAACAGAATGAGAGCATGGATCCAGCATGCCTTGTTACCACTGTGCAGGCTGGTGGTGGTGGTTTAATGGTGTGGGGGATGTTTTCTTGGCACACTTTAGGCCCCTTAGTGCTAATTGGCCATCGTTTAAATGCCACTGTCCATCCTTTTAATGGCTAGCCATGTACTCATCCTCTGATGGCTACTTCCAGCAGGATAATGCACCATGTCACAAAGCTCGAATCATTTCAAATTGGTTTCTTGAACATGACAGTGAGTTCTCTGTACCTAATCATTTAGGTGAGTGTATATATATATTCTTGTTTAACTTTTTTCACTTATATTATTTTTTTAAAGTAAAAAAATATATTTTCATTATTTCTTTATTATTCATTATTGCATTATTTTATGCAACTTTAAATGTGTAAATAAAAGAGAATTCATGGCTCTGGATGTTGTTTATTTCTGTAATGGTCTCTTAGTGTTTGCAAGGTTGATGCATTTAAACTATATGACTTTGTGTAGTTTAATGTAAAACAATGCGTAGTGTTGCTGTCCTTTGAGGGAAAAAGTAGGCTACTTTACATTTGTATGCGAATACTTAACGAAGTATGTAGTTCCTTACATTCCACCACAGGTTATTTTGAAAATTAAAGTAAAAAAGTAGGTCTGTTGTCACAATATTAACAAATTGTTGCTAACTACAGCTGCGTCCCATATCAAAGTGCGCATCTGAAGCGCTCGGACCGGTCTAGCCTGCGGAGGATTGTTCTTGTCGCCTAACAACAGTGACTGACAGCTGCCGATGACGAGAGTAATGTTTGCACTAGACTTTTTTATATTCAAATGGGATTTATATTCAAATAGGGTTGAAAATCGGTGTAAATATTTTCACCATGGTCCATTTGTATACATAATAAAAAGAATACATGACTAGCCTACAAAACTGCATCAATAGCCTACGATGTTAGTGAACATTTGAATATATAGGCCAATATGTGTGTGCCTATGCATCTTTTCTTTTCATATTTTATTACATTATTTACATAAGTTAACACACCCAATACTTCAACAGTTTAAACTAAGTGTAATCCGGCCATTCAGGACTGAACAGGCCTATGCACCAGTCTTGGCTAAGCCGAAAATACATGAATCGGCGGCACCGGGGCTGAAACATCCTCCCCATGTCCTCCAGTAAAATTTAAAACAAAAAAATGGCAATAGTCAATTCTGTCTCCATAGCTGTTTACTCAATTACTGTACGTCACAACAAGGAAAAAATGACACGTCGACTTTAAGTAACCAGCAAAGTAAGGCATTATTTCTAAATGTACAACAAATATCTTTTTCAAAATGAGTAACGCAAGTTCTTTGTTTTCCCAATTATTAACTGACACCACTCCTGTTCCCATTGTTGAGACAAATCGGGAGTGAGGTGCAGGTGTTGTGTATGCTGTGTAAACATAATGGTTATAGTAGTTCTAATCTAGACTAAATGTCATCTCACTTACACAAAAACAGATTCAGTATCCCTCAAAATTAATAAAAACAGTAAAATTATAACTCCGAATATTACGCAAACCGTCAATAGTGAAATGTTAAACAACACAACTACTTTATGTATTTACTCTCACTTTATTAGCCAGTGCCTTTGATGACCCAATTCAACCAAACCAATAGGCAAAATGACTGTAGATAAACATCAAATTGTAGTTTAATTTTTATGTAGTTGAACTCTCTTCTCTTGTTCTTGAACTGAAAGGTTTGTTTGAGCTGCACCTTCTACTGTACAGGCGTAAATTTACATTTCCTTCTGCCTGAGGCTTATTTATTGAACTTTTGTGTGAAAGGGCCTTTACATTTGCCAAAAATATAACTTTTTTTGTTATTAAAAAACAAACAAACAAGCAAGCCCTGCCCAGGTGAGGAAAATGAATGCAAAATAACGCAATTAGAAACTTTTTTTATGGAGCAGCGCAATATTGTAACTCATTACATTTAAAAGTAACTTTCCCCAACAGTGGTGCTATGCATAATAGAAAATGTTTCATATTTGTTTAAATAATTCATGATTTCATTTTTTTTATTAGCTCCCAATATGCATCTGCCTTCCTCTCTATATTACTCCACCTCTCTCTTACTTTTTTGTTATCTGTTTCTCCATCTCATATATTCCCAGACCGATTATCATAGATGCATCTGTTCTGGGGGGTCTCGAAAGGTCACTGGACTGTGCCTATGCTTTTGATCTTCCTGTGCTGCTGGGAAAGTTCTTCCAGTCTTTAACGTCATACTGACCCAGGCCGCACACTCCCTGTGGTGGTCTTGATGATGTCATCAGCCGGGGCCCAAAGGGCTGGGACATTAGGGCCAAGAATGCTCAGTGCAACATAAAAGCAGTGCCATGGATTTATATCAACATGGCACTATACCAGGAATGGGCCCATTGTGCGCACTATCAATAATGCAGCTCCATGATTTACAAGCATCACCTGTAAATCGAATCACACGCTGGCAAAGTTCTAGGTGGTAACAGCTATGAACTTATCGTGCCAGCCTTGGTGTAAATAACCCAAGGGAACTGACATTCTCATCAATAGAGCCAAAGGGGAAAAGATGGGCTGGTGCAGCTTGTGGCATTTGCTATAGGCCAAGTGCAACCCGTAGTGTTCCTGCTACAGGGTAAAGACTCTGACCAAACCTTGAAGGCAAAAACAGCCCCCGAGGGTATTAAAGGTGCAATGAGCGATTTCTGAAAAACGCTGTTGAAAGTGAATCTCTCAGAAAAAAAAGGTACAAAGGTTGTCACTGGGGCTGTACCTTTTCAAAAGGTAAACTTTTGTCCATTTCATGAGCTAATAAGTACATTTTAGGTGTTAATATGTACATTTTAGGTGCTAATATGTCCATTTCAGGATATGTCAATTTCATGAGCTAATATGTCCATTTTAGGTGGTAATATGTACATTTTGGGTGCTAATATGTAAATTTTAATTGGTAATATACATTTTAGGTGCTAATATGTCCATTTCAGGATATGTCAATTTCATGAGCTAATATGTCCATTTTAGGTGGTAATATGTACATTTTAAGTGTTAATATGTACATTTTAGTTGCTAATATGTACATTTTAGATGCTAATATGTCAATTTCATGAGCTAATATGTCCTTTTTAGGTGGTAGTGTGTCCATTTTAGGTGCTAATATGTACATTTTAGGTGGTAATATGTCCATTTTAGGTGCTAATATGTACCACTAAGGTACCAATATGCAGCCTTTGGGTACAAAAGTGTACCTTTTGAAAAGGTACAGCCCCAGTGACAGCTTTTGTACTTTTTTTTCTGAGAGAGGACTGAGTACCCCAAAACACTAGTATAGTGTTAGTAGCCAATCAGCAGAGGCGGACAGAGTACACAGCTTTATTACTTGAGTAAAAGTACAGATACTCCTTGCTAAATTTTACTCAAGTAAAAGTACTACAGTCAGACGTCTACTTGAGTAAAAGTACTTGAGTATCAAGAGTACAAAAGTAAATTTTCTAAATATTGCATTACTACTACCACAGTGCCTATATTTATGTACAAAAACGTCCTACATGGAGTTAGGAAAAATGTTAGAAGTAGTAACGGTTATGGATAGAAATGTAGTGGAGTAAATATTTCCCTCTCAAATGTACTTGAGTAAAGTCATGAGTACTCCCCAAAAATGCTACTCAAAATTGTACTTATGTACTGTACTCAAGTAAATGTACCCTGTTACTCTCCGACTCTGCCAATCAGAAGTAAGGGGGTGTGTCCACTCATGATTGGGGAGGACAGAGAGTGAGCACGAGAGAGATTTGAACAAAGACTGTAGAAAGAGTGATGGCTGAGAGACATTGCAAAAGAGAAAAGGTCAGAGCAATATAACTGGACAAGAATGATTATGATCAGGCAAGAGCTTTAGGACCCGCTTTTATATTAGAAAAGCTTTCCAGGTTCCATAAGGTTGCGTTGTTTCAGCTCTACATATGAGTATTATTGGTTTTGCTATTTTTAACAGAACCAAGATATGCTGTTGTGGTAATGTTAGCTATACTGTAGTAGGACAATTTTGAGTTTCGTTGTTTGTCTGGGACTGGTGTGCTGACTAAAAACAAACTCTTGCTTGTATATTCTGGATGTCCAGTATGTTCATTTTTTGTTCTTCCTTGTTGTTAGTTCGTCATTCGTTAGTTTGTTGTTGTTTCTACATTAAATTATTACAATATAAAAATTAGGGCTGTGCAAAGATTAATTGCGATTAATCACATCCAAAATAAAACTTTGTGTTTACATAATAAATGTGTGTGTGTGATGTGTATAATTACTTTGTATATATAAATACATATGGATGCTTGTCTATATTTAAGAATTTTTTTCCACGTAAATACTGTAAATACATAATCTATATTATATATAAATATTTATATATGAAAAACACATTTTCTTAAATATATACATGCATGTGTGTGTATTTATATACAAAATAATTATACATCGCAAATATACATTATAGACACAAATATATTATGTAAACACAAACTTTATTATTAATCTTTGCACAGCCCTAATAAAAATTTAGGTGCGATTAATTACAGAAAAAAAAAATGTGTGAATAATTTTTAAATTGATTGACAGTTGATTTCAGATATCAACAGTGTTACTCACTGTTGATCTCACCATTGTTGTCAGATTTTATTGCTAATTTTTTTATTGCTTACTTAAATGTAATCTTGACTAAGGTTTCTATCGATTTCAAGTAAACTGGAGCTGTACGTGCTTGACTGGAAAAGGAACTAAAATGCAGCCAGATGTGCATGGCATGAAAGCCCTAACCTCTCTAAGCTGACTAAACTAAAGTTCAGAGAAGTTCAAGACAAAGAACAGCTGTCAGAGGAAAAAGAAACAAGTACTATGATGCATGAAAATATACATTTAAAAATATATTTGTTTCCTCAGTATTTCATTAGTTAAAATAAGATAAAATAGAATTTCATGCAATTGTTTCCCAGCATGCAGTGCCATGTTTAAATCTGCAAGTCATTAGACTGTTTATGGTGTTGGCACTGGTGGTTGTGTTTGTTGCCCCTTTGAGTAATAAGTGATGTGTCAACTGTCAAGTGCATCTTTTTCCTTAAATATTTGGCTGTCATCATTGTGGTTTATGTGATGGATGTTAAGGATGAAAATGTTGGATGAAAATATTGTTATAAAAACAATCAATGTGTTGCAATATGTTGTCTTTGACACTTTCAATATTAAACGTTTGACATAACAGTTAAACAATTTTATAGAATACATGAAAAATATTAAATTATAGTATTTATATATTTAATTGCATGGAATACTTTCCTCTATTTATTGAAGTTTATTGAATGTAAAAATTTTTTTAAGTGTATACAAAGATTATTTCGTATAAACACAACAGTTTTTCTAACCTTCCTGGGCACTGATTTTTCCCCCCTCCAAATGCCACAAACCCTTCCAAGAGGACATTCTTTTCTAAATCTGCCTTTTCCCATCGTTCCTGTGGGAAGAAAAGTTTCATTAAAAATAATCTACTCAGACGAGGGCCAGAATACACCAACAGAGCCCGTATTCCAGCGCTCCAAGGTTTCATTTAATAACAAGACATATTTACATAATCTCTGAATAACTTTCAATGCAATGTCCATCCGTTCACTAATGCGGCTTTATTGTGCGCATAAGTCAATAATTGCTCGAGTTCCATTAGCAACTCAAAAGCCGACAAAATTAAAGCAACTTTTGAATTGGTCAAAAAGTCCAGCCCTCCGAGGTTTTCATAGATTCAAAACAATTTGTATAGTTTTCCAATGGACAAGAATACTGAATGTTCATTTAGACCACAGCCATATTCAGTGTGTAAAATATTTAAGTGCATTTCCACTGTTAGAGAGAGAGAGTTTTAAATGTAGTATAGATGTAGACAGTCTCTGTGAGTGATGCTATTTCTTTCAAGACATTAGTAGACAGAAATGTAATGGAATCTCTATAGGCGTTTGCCGGAAGGTTAATTGTGAAGATAACTGTCAGGCCTATTATTCCTGTTTTAATGGAGCACAGCTGGAGTTTTCAAGCACATTGTGACCAGCACTACACAGCTTGCCAGACAAACTGGAAGGAAGTTTTATTGAAAGAAAATACTAATAAAAGAGATGCTGGTTCTATCTTTGATACCTCATAGAGCAAGAAAAAACTCCTCAAAAAGTGCAGGAACATTTAATAGTAAAGCACTTTACTTGCTGGGGGAAAAGCATTTTATGAGCATGTGTCTTATGTCTATTTTATTTTGGTTTATAGTGGAATTTGGGTTAACCTCATCCTGTGGCATGAGGTCATTCAGAAAGGTGAAGTAACTCACAGGTTTGAAATCGTCCGGGTCTGGGAAATACTTGGGGTTTCGGTGAGCCCAGTAAGGAGACAACATCAGCATGTCTCCAGGTGGGATAATATAATTCTGAAAGCAGAAAACACACACATACATAGATACAGTTCCTTTTTAGCTGACAGAAAGCCTGTTAATGTTTGCTTTGCAATCTGTGAGGCAGATCTCTCTCACTGTAAAAAAATAAACCGTAAATTTTACGGTAAAAAAAACGGCAGCTGTGGTTGCCAGAACTTTACCATTAAAAATACGGTAGGAACGTTAATGGTTTTACAGACTTAACTTAAAATTTACAGTAATAAATCGTAATTTATTTTCTGATAAAATGTGGATTTACCAACTTATTGATGTATTGATATCTGTTTTAGACCATTGTAATATTCTGACAACCAACAATAATCACAGCAGTGATGCGAGTTACATGAGCAATTACAGCTCATCACAAGAAAATACGTGTATAAAGCAATACTTAATTAAAGAAGCTGCACAATGTCATTCACACAAACATTAAGCACCATCATGGTAACACACATGAAATTTAAAAAATGCAATCAACATTAATTTAACAACATTAAATGCAACATATAACCCTAACATAACTGATTAGAAAAAAACAATAAAACAATGAGGAACCATATAGTTATTTCAACAAAAATACATAAAATGTGAAGCGTCACACAGGGAATTGTGGGAATGTCAATTTATGGTTTTTCACTGTAAATTATACAATGATTTGTTCTTTTTCAACTGTAAATTTAACGGTATTTTACTGTAAAATTATATCACCGTGTATAGTGCAGAAACTTTCTGTTTACCAATTAGCATTTTTACAGTATTTTACCATTAAAATCACGGTTATTTTTTTACAGTTATAGCTCTCTCTCTCTCTCTCTCTCTCTCTCTCTCTTTCTCTCTCTCTCTCTCTCTCTCTCTTTCTCTCTCTCTCTCTCTCTCTCTCTCGCTATACACACACACATTAGTAGTAGTCTACAAATGTAACATTTGTCTGAACACACAGCCTGCACTTATGGATAGGGATTTTAAGAATGTAATTTAAGCTTTTCTCTCTTTATTGTATTTACGGTTTATATTAAAACACAGGAAAGATGCTGTTTATCTATGTGCTACTATAGTATTTGTTTTGCATAAATCCAAGAGAAACTACAGAAAAAAAAATAGATTGTACACTAAATAACCTGTTATGGCTAACCTGTAATTTGAGAGGTCGCACTACTTTACGAGTGATGGCTCCAGGGGCCCTCAGCCGAATGCCTTCCATGATACACCACTTCACATATGGGATCCGCTTTAAGTCATCTAGGGTCACCTTTGTCTTGTCCTTGTCTTCAATGCAAAGCAAACACATAAGTACTATAGTGACTATCCATGATGTGTGCTTAAGAGAATGTCTAATTCACTATGAACAAAGCCTGGTTGGATCTGTCGCACAATAAAACTATTTTATTATATCCTATTTAACTGTCATGTGCTTTAGCATTATGCATATAGAAGTGCATTATGATTCATTTTGATAACATGCTAATAATGATTATTAGTGCTTATGGAAATATGAATTATTTTCTGAACAGGTTTGTAAGGCAAATGTAAGGCTTGAAAAACACAATGCATGAGAGCTTGCTGTCCTCTAGTGGATTTGTGAGGAAATTCAGGAATAAGTGGAGGACCTCTTGAAATATTGAGAGCAGCAAATCAGCATATTAGAATGATTTCTGAAGGATCATGTGACTCTGAAGACTGGAGTAATGATGCTGAAAATTCAACTTTCCCATTACAGGAATAAATTACATTTTAATATATATTACAGTAAAAATAAAAAACTCATATTTTAAGCTGTAATAATATTACAATATATACTGTATTTTGGTGAGCATAAGAGACTACAAAAAAAGCTTTGGAAAATCTTAGACACCCACATTTTTTAAGTTAGTTTATGTTTATAATGAAAGCAATTATAAAGTGCTACCAAATATATCAGGCTTTTTGTCTAATGTTGAGGAAACATAGAAACCCCTTTGTTTTGAGAGATTTGTTTTTACCTTGGTCTCCGAGGGCAGTACTGATCTGATCCATTGCAATCTTATACACTTCAGGATTGGACACGATAAAAGCAATGGTCCAAAATGTTATCTGGAAAAAAGTGAAAACGTTTGGTCTCAGTACGTTTTGTTAATCTGGGTTCACACAACACTGACATAAACCTCTCACTTACTGGTATAGCATTTGCCAGGGAAGCCCAAAGCAAAAGTAAACCATAATTTGGTAGATATTTGTCAGATACTGAAGTAGTCAGGTGCTGTAGTAAAGTCTAAGGAGAAAGAGAGACAGATTAGGACCTATTTGGCTTTAATTGCATTGTTAAAGGGATAGTTCACAAAAAAAAAAAAAAATTCTGTCATCCTTTACTCACCCTCATATCGTTATAAACCTGTATGCATTTTTTTCGTCTGCTGAACACAAAAGAAGATATTTTAAAGAATGTTGATAACCAAAAAGTTTTAATTCCCATTGACTTCCATTATATTTTTTGGTCCATACAATAGAAGTCAATGGGAACCTTCAAAAACGAATACAGGTTTACTTTGGAATGACATGAGGGTGAGTAACAGAATTTACATTTTTGGGTACACTATTCCTTTAAACAATGACCACCAGGTATGCCAGATAGAATGAGTCTATTATGCTGATATATGATAATGCCAAATATATGATAATGAGAAGAACAAAACGGAAATTTCAAATGTCTTATCGTCCTACAAAAAGGCTTGGAAGCCTGACTGAAACTCTTTAGCTCCCTCTATTGTGCAAACATGTTCATACATTTAAACATTAAACATTTCAAGACTCTATGCCATATGTTTTGAGATCAACATAAAGTAAAACTTTAAGTCATTTCACACTGTTTTTGACAGAAACAGTTGGACGATAGCACTCCATTTCGGTTTCCAGGGATAAAAAATAATAAATTAAAATCCCCATAATTGCCATAGTTGTTTTATCATCAACATGTGGAGGAATTTTTAGTATAGATTACCTATATTACCTTTCCATAACTCTCACTGTAGAGAGTCTCCTCTGCATTGGCAACCATATTTCTTAGCAGAGAAATGAGCCATTGCTTTGACTTTGCCCATTCCCTGAGGACAGAAAAGAAACATCCTTTACCTCTTTGCCTATAGATGGTTTGAATGCATTTAAGAAAAATATGTAGATATGCAAGACCTTCAGTCGAGTATCGTTTTGAGTAACTTGTGAAACATGATTAAGGAAACTAATTGTGCTTAATAATTGCAGTTTTCAGTCATATTTAGGCAGTACAGCTCACATACTTCAGGAACATGTCTGGGAGTTGGGAGCCATACTCAAATCCATCATCATATGTTGTGAACTTCTCAAGGAACTCCTGCCTGGATAGGGCACTACTGGGGGAGTTACATCGACCCAGTAAGTTACACATCACTGCTGGATACATAACACTCCTGAAAAAAGTTTTAAAGAACATTATTTACTTGAATTTATCTTACCAGATTGCAGGATTAATGTAGTGGATTATAAAATATTATAGTCTACATATCATAACCATAATCTAATGATATGCAGTGGCATTATTAGGCACATAATTGATCATTTCCATGTTAACCAGTTGCTTCAAAGTGCATGGAAGGTATCTACTGTTCTCTACGGGAAACTTTAGCACAATGTAAATAATTGATGTAAGAGGAAATACTTGATGAGCTCATTTAGCTGTCCAGATCCTTCGCTTCCAAGGCTCTCCAAATGGTCATTAAATTCTTCACAGAGATGAGCGGAGAGCATTGCTGCGTTGCCCGGAGTCAGTCTGCCCTTGATTATGCTGATACAGGTCGGATGGGTCTTAAAGAAACTGTCTTTGCTGATAGAAGCTGGACAGGAACAAGGTTAACATGAGTAATCACATTATCACTGAATACTGATGACGTTTATCTTATATTGAGTTCAGTCAGTTCCAAGGTCATGTGCAGGGAAATGCAGACATTTTGAGAGGCATGGCTCAAGTAAAAAAAGAGCAATTCTCCTAAATACGTATTTTTTTTACTTTTTTAAAACAAAAAAGTATATATTAACACAACTCTGACTTCCTTTTAAAAAAAATTATTTCCTCAAATCTTGGTCCAATGAAACCATGGTCTCCTTAGTATTCACTAGGTTTATAAAGCAGCAAAGGAAACCATGCCACAATGTGCATGGTTTTTTATGCAAATAATTTCAATCACGTATATATTTGTCACCTGATGGTGACATGGACTTGGTTTCACATTTGAGGGAGGACTATATCATCATCATCATCAAATACCTCCCGATACCAACATCATCAAAAACCTCCAAAATCCACATTCAGAAGGAGTTTGTTTTAAACCTACTATCCTCCATCTGTTTGCATCTGTAGATTTCTCCTAATTCACCAATTTAGTTTTCTAAATTCCAGGGGGATAGACATTTGATGTGTGCAAGTCATTAACTGGGGACATTCTGTGGCTTTAGTTATTTTGTTTATCCTATTTACCAGCATTGCCCTGTCAATTAGATGCAAATGTGCACAAAACTAGTTGACGCCTAATTTGCGTATCAGTTTATCGATTGTGATGATGTTATTAGACACACATTGTATTCAACTGGACCCCATTTAGTACAATAGCACTGTATGGCCATGATATATGTTCCTTAGCTAAACTAGCTAACTTATTACATTAGCTAGCTCATGAGGCATGCATAGCAAGACACAGGTTAACTATATTTGTCTTTGGCTAATCAGCAGTAAATTCGAGGCACTGGTAGTTTAATCTTTTGTTCATCGCCACTCACCTCAACACAACCCAAGAAAACACAGAGAGAGAGAGAGAGGGAGCGCTTCAGAACTCCTGACCTGATATTTAGATATACTATTCAATAAATATATTTGTTTGAAAGGGAGGCTGTGCGCAAACAGGAATATATATTATTATTATTATTTTTTTTTTAAAGCACCGCAGAATAAAAGGGCACTTTCTTTCCAGGAATAAAAAGGGCAGGTGCTCAAGCCCCTTTATGTGTGCACGTGCCTGGTCACGTGTGTAAAAGAGTAATGACATTGATTCAAATTGATTGCATTTATTGTTAACATGTACCTGTGTTGTAAACAGGTTCTTGCACTGCTTGTTCAAAATCAACATCTTTGGAAGTGAAAAAAGCTCGGAAGTCCTCATTTAGGGTCACAAACGTCAGTCTCTTCCCAGCAGCTACAACAGTGAAAACTGGTCCATACTGGAAAAAACAAATGCTATTATAGTTTTAGGAATTGTACTTTATTATTTATATTTCATACAAATGATAACGATAATTTATTTAGTGACCCCAAGTGAACCTTAAATGACTTGAAAACACTCTTTTTGTGTGATTTTTGCTTTGGCAGAAGAGCAGTTGTCCATTCAGCAAACCTCTCATTAGCATCAATGCTTTCACAGAACTGGCACAGTCGTGGCCAGAACAAAAATTGTGTCGAAAAAAAGGCCACTGTGTGCAGCTCCTGCCCTAGTTGCATAAATTAATGATGCTGAACTGAGCTGTCCTCAAACTCGGTTAGTATGGCACAGCTCAAAAACAAAACACACCAAGATTGGCCACAGGGCACCAGCACAGTGTCTGGGTTATATATTTCTGCAGTTATAGATAATGAAAGTTAAAAAAAATTCTTGCAATCCCACAATGTTAATAAATATGCATGCATTATGAATATAAGCAAGCATGGTAGAGCAAAGAAACTTGTTTAGATAGAAAGCCTTTCTAATATGATTAAATTGGTTATATAATATAGATTTAAAAGAAAACGTAAAACATAAAATTATAATACATATCTGTTATTTTTACTATTTTAATTACCACACTGTACTTTTAAATTTGTCGCATAATAGTTGAGTGCAGCAGGTTCATCACAATTTGCATGGGAGGAGCTGGACTTCTGAACCCACTGTCATCAAACCTGTATAATTTATGCCCCAGACAATTAGCAGACTTTTAAATACAGTTTTACGGGTTTTTTTTAATATAAATATATATTGTGGGAAAAATTAACAACACTGGAACCAAAATTTCACAAATCCCACTGCACTGTCACTTGCAAAGATGAAAATTAAAATATTAATTATTAGTAGTATTAGAAATTAATTTATATATGGCTATTATACATCTTCAAGTAATTTTCTCAAAGGGCAAACTTACTTTGGCTCTGGCTTGCTGGATGAAATGCAAAGGTGCTTTGCCAAATTCAAAAGCAGCACCAAACCAAGGTATCCAACCTCTTATGCATGGAGGAGCATTGGGGTGACTTTTACCAAAAATAAGATGAAAAGAAATAATAACAATTGACACAGTCAAAATTAAAGTAATCCATTCCATCGCAATCTAGAGTGCAATGATGCTCGACTGGAACGCATATGATGAGTCTGTGTGGAAAAAGTCCAGTTAACATATCTGCTATCAGATCGGATTCTCTCATTACGAACTCTGAGCCATGACCTCCCCACCACACCGTTAACCCCTCCCACTTTAAACAACCCATTGTATCATTATCATTAGCCCCTCCTAATAACAACACTAACCCCTCCCACACTCTTCTCACACCATGACATAACACCTCCCCTCCTCGATAGCCCCATCCCACTGTGCGACAGATGTTGCTACTTGAAGGATATCGCCCTGCTGACTGAGCAGTTTAGTTGATCGAGATATATATTTATATTGATTTATATACGAAGAGTTCAGATGCAAAAGCCTCTAAATGCCATTTGAAATTTTCTTCTTTAATGATGATTTTTATCAAACTTGTATATTTAAGTTCAGTAATTTCACTTAAATAACAATTAATAGGTAATTATCATTGCCATTTAAGTGAAATCACTGAACTTAAATATACAAGCTTGATAAAAATCATCATTAAAGAAGAAAATTTCAAATGGCGTTTAGAGGCTTTTGCATCTGAACTCTTCATACACACATAATGCATGTCATGCTAAATGTTATCAAATATATCTTCATCTGTAAGCAAAATTATTTTAAAGTAGCCTACTATACACATTTCTAAAATCTGCTAAATATATTTATACACCCCAACAGATTTAATACAGTACCATACAATAAAACATTTTGTCTCAATTTAAGATATAAAAGTTTAAAAAATATGTATTAAATCACAGTAATAAATAACTTGCAATACTATGAAATACAGGATTTCATTATACTCATTCCCAATTTATTTAAGAAACAAAATAAGTAAACAAAACAGTGTATATTAAAACTAAATATTAAAACATGGTTTAGATAAGCCGAATTTGCTTTTTGATATGAAGCAGCAGATTTTTGAAACACGATCGCTGACGGCACATCTGTGACGCCACACTCCATCCGGGTCCTCAGCGCCTGGGCCATGACGTCACGGGGTCCAGGAATGGCGGCTCTGTCTGCAGAGGGAAGCAGTCCGAAGAGCCCGAAACTTTATTCCTAACATCACTTCGCGGCTACACGAGCTCCACTGTTCCACCGACGGCCATATCCAGCTCTCGAAGAGCCAGCGCAACAGCTGAACCAAGTCTCGACGTTGTTACCGCTGAATTCTGACGTCCCAGGCTCTATTAGTTTGGTTGACTTTGCGAGGGCCAAAAGACAAGAGCAAAGACAGCGACTAACGGTACATAAAAACAACAAGCACCTCAAAGCATCCTTTTTCGTTTCCGTCCAAGTCATAGAAGGATCTTACTTGTGTTTTGCTAGTTTTTTTGTTGTCTTGCTCATAAACTGAAAGGCAAGACGCTGGCCTGATAAGGTGAAGCCACCAGCTGCGGGTTTGATGCCACGATGGAGAGTTTAACACTGAGCGATGTCGAGCAGAAATATTACTCTGAACTCTTTCTCTCCTGTGATGTCGATAACACCAAGAAAGTGGCTTCCAATGGCAAAGTTCTCGACCTCTTCCGGGCGGCCCAGCTCTCAAACGAAGTGGTGCTTCAGGTAGAGTATGCATCTAATTCAGATATGTGTGTGTATTAGTCAGCAGATATGTGTTGTTATGCTTATAACGTTACACGTAACGTAAATAGATCGAATTGGTGACTTGAGTTCATCGTCTCAGACATGCCAAGGACTCTAATGGCTCATATGGGCGATGTCAAGAGTATGTAGACCGGAGTGATGAATCTATCTCATTGTTGACGAGTTGCACAGATGAATTGGTGATGCATCTTTAAACTTTGTTTCCTGTTGTGCAAGTCTGTAGACTCATTAGTTATGCCTGCTTCCTCTTACATATGAGCATAAATTGTATTTTTCTGCTTATGTCAGGAAATCCATTAGGTTGATGACCATTGAAATGTGTTTTTCTCACTTGATAGTATAATTAACAAACAAGAAGGTTTGGTGTTGTTCTGCATAATGTGATATTTTATTTAGGGAATTAGACATCACTCAAACGTATTAACTGTATTACAGCTGGTCCATAACTTGTCGATAATATGCTTTAAAACTCTGTCAAGCTTCTTTTGGGAGACCCCTTATATGGTTGATGGTTTTTGAAGTGTCATAGAGATGTTTTTGTTTCATCACTTGGTGCTTAGCTAACATTCATCTGTTGGTAGGGTATTATTAGATCATGAACATTTCAAAAACTTGTGGTCTTCTTAGTTTAGTTGCTTCTAGATCTTTGGCCAAAGTTTCGTGAAGGGGTGTGTCCATGAGTTTCTAGTGAATATTACATATTTATTGTTGTCTAAGCAACAGATTTATTTATCTGTAATACTAAAGTAATTGACAGAAGGGCATTTCATTGAAGGTTTACTTGTGAGATATTAGAGTTTTGTTATATGTTCTTGCTCTGATTTCACATGATTCATTAATTTTTATATCAATATTTAGCATTTAAGATTGAAAACTGTCATTCAGTCAAGTAGGCACAGTAATGTGTATTAAATATTATTTTTTTTAAGGGAGTTGTATTAGGTAGGCTGCTATTATATTGGTGAATACTTGGCCATACTGCTTGTTCTCTAATTTTAGGGATCCTTGTTGGATAGAGAGATGGAGAGCAGATTCCCCTTGTTACATATGTATACATTTAAGTGTTTCATTTTATGCCTGGCCTGTAACATACATACACTACACTACTGTTCAAAAGTTTGGGGTCAGTTATAGATATATATTTTTTTTATTTTAAAGAATTAATTAATACCGTTATTCATTAAGAATGAATTAAATTGATCAAAGCACAGCAAGTACATTTATAATGTTACAAAATTTCAAACAACTACTGTTCTTTTAAACTTTCTATTCATCAAAGACTATTACAGTTTCCACGTATATATGAAGCAGAACCACTCACTGATAATAAGATTTTTTTTTCTTGAGCTCTAAAGCAGTGTATTAGAATGATTTTTGCAGGATCATGTGACACCGAAGACTGGAGTAACTGTAGTCATTAAAATATTTAACTAGTTATTTTTAGTTCTTTGCTGTATATCACCTCTGGTCATGTTATTGTACGTTCACCGTTTTTTTTTTTCTTGTAGATTTTATGGTCCGTTTATCTAATTGAAAGTTTTGTTTCCATTGTCTTAGATTACTGAACTTTGTGGGGCCACACGTCTCGGTCATTTCGGTCGGAGTCAGTTCTACATTGCACTGAAGCTCATTGCACTGGCCCAGTCTGGAATGCCCCTGCGTGTGGAGACCCTGAACAGTGGTGAGTAGCAACAAACCTTATTTATAGCTATTTTTGCTTGTATGTACTGTATGCACCAAATCAAAATACTATTTTGTGAAGTTATCGTATCCGTTTTTGCAGATGAATCTAATGTGACATTTGCTGCCCCATTACATAACAAGAATTAGACTAGAGGATAAAAAATACTTCCTTTCTCTTGCATTTGTATATTTCTGTGAACTGTTTGTGCCTTTAAGCCAAATGCAAATGTTCCAGTTTGTTTGTTGTCTATCATGGTTGTTCTCTCTCTCTATTAGGGGTGTAACTGTTCAAATTGATTATGGTTTAGTTTTAATCACTGGATCAGTATGTGCTATGTTCAGGGAAAACTGACTATTTGCCTGCTGTCAAATAAAAATAGTCATCAAACAAATAATCAAGCTACAAGCAACAGTACTAATAAATACAATAGAGCAAAGATACTAATTAAATAAACAGTGCTTCTTAAAGGGGCACTCCACCCTTTTGCATTAAGCTTTCCATTGTTAGAAACCCAGTCATAGTATTGAATGGTCATGCAACACTCTCTCATTTTCCCCTGAAACGAGAGAGATCTGCTATTTACCTTTTTCACTTCCTCCTACAATAACACAAAAATCATCATTTTATCTCTCTTGTTCTGTGGTGAAAGCTGAGTAGTAACTTTAGGGGTTACCATCCTCTTATTCCCGGACATGTCCTGCCGTCGATGTCTGGGATTCAGCTTTTGCTTTCTGCAGTCGCCATTCATTGTTTACATGCACAGCTGTTTCAGTCTAACTGAATTCATTCTAATTGGTGAATCTGAATGTAGTGTTTACATGAACGCTAAAAAGTGATTGGTTTATGTGTGTTTTAACATTGCTAAGAAAATTCCCACTCCTTCATGAGAGATACGAGACTGGTAACTTATGTCTCACAGGTGTTGCTCATCGGTAATCACGGCACCGGCCTCGTATCTTTCTCCACACGGCCCTCACTCGTCCTGCTCGCAACAGTAAACATGATGAATGGCGACTGTAGAACGCAAAAGCCGAATCCCGGACATTTTGGGCGATCTCGAAACACATTTTCGGGCAGGCTCATCACGGAGACTCAATAGCCTACACTGTTGTTTAACTACTGCGCTCTGTTAACGGTAGGCGTGGTCTCCTTGGGCAACGAAGCAAATGCATTCTGGGAGTGTTTGTCTTTCATCCACATAAGCCAAAAATACATTTTCTGGCTTTTCTCAATCTAAAAAGCTCCAAATCAAAAATAATTTCACATTTCTTCTACATAAATTACCCATTTTAAATACACATTCATCTTTCCAGAGGTGGAGTGACCCTTTAAGTTTTTTAGATATCTAACAGTAGTCTTCAGATACAGAAATTGAATAAAGAAATCACATGTAAATAAATAACTGCATATAGTCTTCAGTGAATGAAAATTAATCATTATTAAAGTTACAAAAGCTGTTTAGTTAAGAGCAGTAAGGGATTTCCTTGTCTTATGTTGTTTGATTAACCCTCTGGGGTCTAAGGTGTTTTTGGGGTCCTTGAGATTTTTTTTGACATGCCCTGACATTTATGCTTTTTTCATTTGCTTATAAACATATTATTGGCAAAGGTGTAATTGCACTCTATTTAGCACAAACAGGGCTACCATAATATGTGAGGAACATGTATCTACATGTTTGTATTTTTGAAAAAAATAAAAATGAAAGTTTCTGAAATAAGGTGTTTTTGCTTCAAAATGATCTGAAAATCATCTTGCCTAATCATTCACATAAAACAAAATCATCAAAATAATGCTCTGATTCACATCTGAGAAGACAATGACCCGCATAATGAGCCTTTCATTCAGGTTTGTCACTGGGTACCACAAGAAAGAATCTGAGGACTTATTTTCTATGCATGCAAATTTTATAATATCCAAGCCAAGGTAAACATTTCTTGTAACTATGCAGTTAATTCTCATACTGTATTTTCAAAAAAGGTTTGGAATATATCCTCTCCCCAAATGTGTCACTAATAAAAAACAATAATAAATAATTTATAGAGAAGGCTATTGTTGCTATTGTACATATACACACATATATAACAGTTCCAAACAGGAAGCCCTGTGCAAACGCTCTACAAGAATTTTGGAAGATTAGACAAAAGACCTTGAGAATGAGAAACTGACAGTGGTATAAATAAGCAGGAAATAAGACCCGACTCATAGCCTTGAAGATACTGCGAGAACTCACAGTCAACAGGAAATTGCTGACAATGCCCTGGAGTTTAGATATGCTTGGGATGAACTTGTTTTCTATTGATTTCTATTTCATTGATTTTAAAGTTAGTAATGAAAACTTTCGACCTCAAAAATAAAACATCAGTTTAGTAGTCCTGAGTCTACTGACCGTAGCTGAATATTAAATCTGGCTTTGTGTGTAGAAGTCTAATGTGGAGTTGCATTTGCAGTCAGGGATCTGCCGCTCCCTCGCTTTGTGATGGGCAAGAACGAGCTGGAGACGAGGCACGCGGTCATGTTCGCAGACGCAGAGAATCAGGGACACTACTTCCCCAGACCTCCAGTCCGAGTGCAAGCCAAAAAAGTGTCAGCGCACGAGATGATTCAGCCCTGTGTGCCCACTGTTGATCCTCAGGTACTACAGCATATATCCCACATACTATCATTAAATATGTCAAAATATGAAGAAGAAAAATCTGTTTTTTTAGGCCTTTCAGGATGAATGTAGTCAGTCATTGTCTTATGTTGGTAATATTAATAGGACAACAATATTGACTGTTCGTTTACTTGAAAACTAAAACATGTCTATTAATTTGGGGTCTATTAAAATGGGGTTATAAGTATAAGGCCAGATCCCATTATTTTAATATATTTTTAAAAAATATCTAATATTATTATTTAACTTATATTAGCATTTAACTTAGCATTTAACATTGTAGTTAAATAAACAGGTGTGTTGATTAGGGATGGGCAATGATTAAACGCGATTAATCGCATCCAAAATAAAGTTTGTGTTTACGTAATATGTTTGTGTGTGGTGTGTAATTATTTTGTACATATGAATACACACACATGCATGTATATATTTGCATGTATATACTTAATATATATTTATACATATTTAATATTATGTATAAATATTTGATATATTAAGAACACATTTTTCTTAATTATATACATGCATGTGTTAGTATTTATATATACAAAATAATTATACACACAACACACACATATATCATGTAAACACAAACTTTTATTTTGGATGCGATTAATCTTTGCCCATCCCTAATGTATTTGTTTTTGCTGCAGTAATACGCTTTGTATAGCCAATTGTGAAAACAAAAATTATTATTTAAATAGAAAAAGTATTTTTTTTATTATTTTTTTATTTATTTATCATGAATGTAGTCTTTGATGCTGAAAGCAGAAAGATAAAACAGGAAGTTTTAAGAGATGAAGAGTTGCAAGTTTGAACCCCACAAAGGATCATTGGACTGTGCCATGGCAATTAACTCCTGGCTGCTTCATGGAGTTTCTAGTCCTGTACTGTATGTCCTGTCCCAGATCTGATAAATGACTACTTGTCAGCTCCACCATGTGTCTTCTGTTCTGAGGCCGTCTGTTTGGCCAAAAGGATTACTAAGTAATTAATTTAGTTTATCTCTGGCTCCAGCCGGACACCACATCTCCTGTAGTGTCGCCGCACCAGTCCCCTCCCACTTCGCCCCATACCTGGAGGAAGCACAAACGCCAGGCCAGCGGTGGAAACGTGGACAGACAGCCCTCAGTGCCAGGAGTTGTTTGGCCGCCTTTTAGAGAAGCACAGCCAGGTATTCTGTTTAATAATGGCATGATTCATTATTTTGGAAACAGAATAACCTTCCTTGCCAACATTAAAAAATGATATGATAGATTTATTTAAATGTCGTAATATAATATTTAATATTGATGGGGGTAATTATCAATTAATAAAAGTTATTATAAAGTGTTGCTCTTATTTCTGTGTACCTGAGCAAGTCCTTGGCAAATCTAACTTAAAGGTCAGTTTGTTATAATGGTGGGTGTTTAATATTAAATAATTAAATTAATATCTTTCCCTTATCTGTGTCTTGTTTAAGGACCGGTAACAGGTGACGGGATGTGGTCCGCCCATTCACCCCCTCCTGTCCAAGAAACTTGGGTCAGCTTTACAGACACCCCTCCCTCCAGCACACTTCCAATGCATCCCCCCTCAGCTCAGGTAATAGAGTGCAGGCCTCCATGTATACATTTGTTATGTATACAATGAAGTCTGTCACCAATAGCCTGCTGGAACCAAGGCTTCTGTGGCAGAACAGGTGTTTAATTTTGTGTGAACGGCAGCACAAAAGTAGACTATATTAAATATTTGCCAAAGCCAAATTGGATGCATGTCCAGCAAATTACCAGTAATACAAGGAATTGTAAAAGAAGGTAGCTGAGCAGTTGTTTATACTGTTTAATAAACCTTACCAACCCCAAACTTTTAAACCGTAGCGCACATATACGAGTATATTACAAAATCGAAATCTTTTTTTCCCCTCTTCTTTTCCAGCCGGAGAGCACAACAGTAAGGACTGTGATGTCTGCAATGATCACAAATGAAATCCAAAGGCAGACCAGTGGTTACGACGACCCCTGGAAAATCACAGATGAGCAAAGACAGTATTACATAAACCAGTTTAAGACCATTCAGGCAGATCTCACTGGTTTAATCCCTGGTAATTAAGACCTCATTTTGAACAGTAACATGCCTATCTACTAAATTTACCAACCTAAAATGAATCCGTCCTCTGTTGTTCAGGCTCTGCTGCGAAGGAATTCTTTACGAAGTCGAAACTGCCTATTCTAGAACTGTCTCACATTTGGTAAGTAGTTTTACATTGAAGTGTTGCATTGTCTCTCTTTGTTTATTTTGGATGATAATGGTGTAGATTGCCTTAAAGGGATAGTTCACCCAATAAGAGTTTCTTTTATGAGCACAAAAGAAGATATTTTGATGCATTTTGGTAACTAGACAGTTAACATTTCAACGAACAGTCCAACATTTGTTAAAATATCTTCTTTTGTGTTTAACAGAAGAAAGAAACTCATACAGGTTTGAAACAACATGAGGGTGGGTGATGACGCACTTATTGGGTGAACTATCCCTTTAAGGCAATCTACACCATTATCATCCAAAATAAACAAAGAGAGACAAAAACTTCATATGTCGATATTCATAAATCATTTGCATTCAATTTGTTAATGTCCTGTCTTTAAAAAAGGAATTTGTCCCTGTCATCATCTTCTTTGTACTTTAAAATATTCATCTTGTCTGTATTGACTGACAGACCTGCTTTACCTTGCAGGGAGCTATCAGATTTTGATAAAGATGGTGCACTAACCCTGGATGAGTTTTGTGCTGCATTTCATCTCGTAGTCGCTAGGAAAAATGGTTATGACCTTCCTGAAAAGCTCCCTGAGAGCCTCATGCCAAAGCTTATTGACTTGGATGACTCAGCAGGTAAGCAGTAAAGCCTCGGCTTCAGATCGGGCTAAAAGGAGCCTTTATTTTATAACATTTCACTGAGTTATTATTTTTTTTAAAGCATTGTCATGTTAAATTTATTTAAAGTGACAGTAAATATTTTACAAAAAAAATATATTTCAAATAAATGCTGTTCGTTTAATCTTGTTATTCATTAAAAAAAAAATCACGGTTTCACAAAAACATTAAACAGCACAACTGTTTCCAACATTGATGATATTGAAAAGAATAAAAAGAAATGTTACTTGAACACTAAATCAGCATATTAGATTAACAGAAATCAAATGTGATGGCTGCTAAAAAGCTGTCCTCACATGAATCAATTATATTTTAAAATATAAAATAAATATATAAAACAGTTAAATTTATAATATTTTACTATATTATTGTTTTTCCTGTAAATAAATAAATGCAGCTTAAGTGGCCATAAGAGACTGCTTTCAAAAACATTTCACAAACCTTTTAGTTGAATGTTCAGTTGTCATATACTCTCTTTTTTTACTCTATTTTATATAGACACAGTTTAAAGTGATTTTTAATTAAGTCTAATGTAATTGGTCCAAAATTAAACCATATTAGCATATTATTAAACCAAAAATATGTGACCATTATTGTGTTTTTGTCACTTCTCGGCATTTTACTTTCATTGTGGATAGAGAACAAACTTTCTTCTAATTCCAATATTCCAATAACAGCTTCACATGATATGAGCCTGTATCTTAGCAACAGGTTTGCATATTAAAACAGAGCATATAATGTGCCCTTGGGACCCCCGAGAGTCCTTTTGAAGTTTGCCATTTTAGATGCAAATTATTGTTTTGCTTATTCTATAATTATGCTGAATGACTATCAGGTGTCTGCATCAAGTTTTTATTGTCTGTATGTATGTCACAGGAGTTCCAGAACCTGCTACTGAAGTTAGCTTCTCTGCTTCCCCTGTGGAAGTCACTCCAAATAAGTCTCCTTCCATGCCTTCCCTGAACCAGAACTGGCCTGAGCTCAACCAGAACAATGAGGTTTGGACTGTGGAGTACTTTACCTCTGTCACTGATATTTGTAGTTTCTATCTGCATTTGTCTTTATGGGAAAATAAATCTAAAACACTTGGAAGAAAGAGGTGCTAGTGAGGCACACTTCCATCTCATCACATGGTGACAGTTAATGCTTCACTGTCATGTTGTGAATGTGTTTTCCTTGTAGTCAAAACTGCTGACCTGAAGTCACATTTTTAAACTAAATCTTTTTAGTTTTAGATAAACCTCCAAGAATACTCCATAATGTGAAACATTTCCAAGTAAAACTAAATATTCAGTGGTCAACAATGGCAGAATTTGATTGGATTGGGGATACTTTAAACCAAGACAATGGGCTATAATTTTGTGGTTGCCGTTATTTTTCAAGGTTAAGTCAAGGTTTAGGTCAGCATAAAGCTGTTAGGAAAGTAGAGTGGGTTATTACATTTTTATTGAAAATGATGAAAAGAAACCAAATTCTATGAAAGCCCATATAAAAAAAAGATATGGTTTGGTAAATAATTGATATAAATGTGAAATTTTGAGATACTGCATCATAATTATAATATAAAAAGGGAAGTACTAGAATAACTGTTAAATATTGCACAACAGAACTCGGGACGTTTAAAGGGAAAGTTCACCCAAAAATTAAAATTCTGCCATTATTTACTTACCGCAAGTTGTTCCAAACCTGTATGAGTTTCTTTCTTCTGCTGAACAAAAAAAAAATATATATTTTTAAGAATATGGGTAACCAAACAATTGATGGACTCCATTGACTTCCATAGTATGAAATAATAATACTATGACGTCATAAACGGATTATTGACATTCTTCAAAATATCATCTTTTCTGTTCAGCTGAAGAAAGAAATTCTTTACAGGTTTATAACAACTTGAGGGTAAGTAAACGATGACAGTGATGAAAATGATGATTTTTATTTTTGGGTGACCTATACCTTTAAGAAAATAGTAAATGGAGTCTGTTTTGATTTTATCCCATCTTTCAGTTCTTTTTAAAGGTGAAGTGTGTGATTTTATTGGGATGTTATAATAACTGTTAAGAGATTATAGGTTGATTTCTAAAAGGAAGTGTAAAACTGTTTCAAAATATTTGTTTGAGCATCCCGGCTGGTCTTACTCAGGAGTATTGGCTGAAACAGTGGAAGTGAAGTTTAGGGTATAACTATCTGTTTCCCCGACCAATGCCTGGCGGGAAGAGTGTTCAGAAAGCCTGTTTGAATAGTAAGTTGTTTTGCAATTCGGTTTGAGAACGAAAGTGCCGTGGAAATTACGCACTTCACCTTTAATCAGGTCAGTAATGTTTTGATCTACTGGATATAATTATTGGGGGTTCTCTTTTGATGACGGCTACCTTTTTTCTACCAAACCAATCATTGTAATAAGGAAATAAAATGTAACATTCTCCCTCCCAGCATGTATGGCCATTAAGGTGTAGCATATTCTCTGGGGTCAACAGAGGAACAATTGTTTAATTGACACCAGAGAACATGCTACAGTACAATGCCAGACAAATCACGGGTTTCTTCTGACAGTCAGAGGGCACACTGTTGTTGTATTGTGGTCTCTGTTTGCTTGTGTGAGGAGTGGAGTGGCTCCACCTTGCTGACATGTTTCTGCTCTGTCTCTCCAGCAGTGGGAGACTTTTAGCGAACGCTCCTCAAGCTCACAAACTCTGACCCAATTTGATTCTAACATTGCACCAGCTGATCCTGTAAGTCAATCACTCAGTGCTCTTTCATGATTAATGATATTCATTAACCCAGTACTCTGTAAATTCTCTCTGAGAGCGCATGTCCTCAGGATAAATTCACAGCCACAGTGCCATCATCAAATTATTGTTTTTTTTTTTTTCTTTTGCTTGCTGAGCTTACAGATAATTCTTTCATGCTCTTTCTTTCAATCTGTATCATGTAATCCAAGTGATGTCTCTGGCTGGCTGTTCTTTGAGGGTGTTGTTCTTGATGTGATACAATGATTTAGTTACTCAGGCCAGGTTCTTAACTATTCGTTGTTCTTTACGACCGAGATGACAAATCTTCGTGAAGTTGAATGAAACACAATTGTAGTTTTACGACAGCTGCAGTTGTGCTTGTTTCTTTTTAGGATACAGCAATAGTCCACCCTGTGCCCATTCGTATGACACCCAGCAAGATCCACATGCAAGAGATGGAGCTCAAGAGAACTGGAAGTGGTGCGTCCATTAATGTACTTTTGCAATGCAAATTCCATAGGCACTTATTACGTAAAATGTTTGTGTTTTTTTCTCAATTATTTTTTGGTCTTTTTTTTTTTTGATGCTCATACTTTTGGTTAGACGTTTAGAATTAATTTTTTTGCCTAGCGGATTAAAAAATGTCATTGCCCTGCATTGAAGAAACAACCACAAGCCATATTTTCCATATCACAGAGGTTTAGGATTGGGCTTTTTTGAGTTTAACAAGCAACCACTTATATACCAGAACACCTCGGCAACGTCCTAGCAACCAATGTAATTTGGTTGTTACGACTTTGATTATGCTCAAACAGATAGAGTTTGTTCCAGTTGCGCTCAGTCTGTGTTTAGAATCATGTATTGTGCAGTCTAAACATTTTTCCTGGCATCCTGGCCAAATTTGCCCAGTGGCCTCTGTCCATCATGGCCTCCTAATCATCCCTATATATATATATATATATATATATATACCAATTGGCTTCATTACTCTGTCTCCTCTCCACCAGTAAGCTAGTGGTTGAGGAGATTCCCCCTTGTATGTAAAGCGCTTTGAGTGCAGAGAAAACGCTATATAAATGTAATGAATTATTATCTATTATTATCATTGTTTTATAGAATTTATAATTTGCAGTCTAGAAATCTCCTAAAGTATTCTTTCTTACCGCAATAATCAATGTATTAATTAGCACAAAACGGTTGTGCTTTTTAATAATTGTTTTCAAAAGCATGACACATTTTTAGAAATAAAAATGCATTAAAATCACTTTGAGTCCTTGCTGTATAAATTAAATTGCGGTAACACTACAATAAGGTTTCAGTTGGTAACATTAACTAACATGAACTAACCATGAGCAATACATTTGTTACTGTATTTGTTACAGATGAAAATACAGCTTTGTTCATATTAATTCGCAGTGCATCAACTTATGTTAATAAATACAACTTTTTATTTGAATAATTAATAGTAAATGTTGAAATGAACAAATATGAATAAATGCTGTAGAAGTTCCGTTCATATAAGTTCATTAAATAATATAGTTAACTAATGAAACGTTGTAAAGTGTTTCCTTAATTGCTTTTAAAAACAATCTTTCTTAACGCAACATTTGAATTGTACTGTAGTCACAAAATGTAAATCTGTAATAATTTGGTTATTAGACAAATTGATTTATTTACTCTTGTTTAACAGATCACACACATCCAACTAGTCCGTTAATGGCGAAACCACCAGAACTTTCCGACGAGACCAAGCTAGCAGCATCTATAAAGTTTCCTGTTACCTCTGTTGGTAAGTACATCTGGAATATTCAAGCATTTCATTGGCTGATCTTCTTATGTAGCTCATTCAAAACCATTACCCTTAATTTCTACAGGAGATGGCTATAGCAGCTCAGATTCATTTACATCTGATCAAGAGCCCATTTCCAGTGCTGTGAACAGACAAAGGTACTTTACTTCTTGTTGTGGCACCAAAATCAGACTCACTTTGATCTGTGTTCATCTTAGTGTTTGTGTTGTCATGGCTTAAAGAAAAAGATTGACATGGATTAGATCAGAAAATGGTTTAGTGCTTTAGATGTGAGTTTTGCCAGCCACAAAACTACAAACAGCTCATTTACTTACTTTTACTTTACTTTTTACTTTCACAGGTCTCACTCTGGCACCTCTCCGGAAGGACTGAAGGTTGTGGCTCCGCCCCCACCTCCGCCCCGCCCCCACGCCTCTCACTCACGGTCCTCCTCCCTAGACATGAACCGAAACTTTGCTGCTGTCCCTGCAGGTATACATGCACACAAACAGTTAATAAGTAACTCATAGCTTCCTGTTTTTTGGACTACGGTTGGTAAAAGCCGAAGTTGTCTTTTGTAATAACTTTTCCAGCAGGTTCGCAACAGCCTAGTGTAGTGGCCTTCCCCCCCGCAGTGCCTCCAAGACCACTGCCCACACAGGTACAGCACAGTGGTTAGCAATGCTGTATAAACGGCTTCCAGACAATTAGATATCTATTTTGCTTTCTTTAAAGGAGTAATACAATATTCAATTCTCAAATCTACAGACATCAGTTCCACATGGTCACCGTTCGGTAGAGGGAGATGGTCTTCCAGCACATACCAGCACGTCACCCCATCAGATGCCAGAACAACCCAACTTTGCTGACTTCAGCCAGTTCAAGGCTTTTGCTGTGGACCAGCCAGAAGATGATGAAGAGAACCCATCTGATAGTGGACAGGTACAGATGGAACCATATGTTACGTTAATGACTCATTATGAAGGAAAAAAAACGTTTTTTCTGTGTAAAAATATGCATAAATTAATTGTTTGCAAAAATATGTATTTAACAAGTAAACAATACATTTCTTATAAAAAAAAAACATACACTAGTACCATTCAAAAGTTTTTTTAATTGTTTTTGAGAGAAGTCTCTTATGCTCACTAAGGCTGCATTAATTTGATCAAAAATACAGTTAAAACATTTATATTGTGAAATATTTAGTGGTGCACGATATATCGGCTGATATGATCAATTATTTTACGCATAGGTATCGTTCCGGTGTCAAAATTGGGCCGATGTGAACAGGCCGATTAATCATTCCTGTGTATTTGACGTGTGTATGTGCAGATTGATGTTTGTGCAGGGGCACACAAACCTAGTGTGGGGGCAGGGATGTTTGTTTTTGCACAAGCGCATACATTACGAGCGCACATCCGATCAGTTTAAACATCAAGCGCAAGAAGACTGGAACTTGCACGCTGTTTTCTGTCAGACTTACTTAGGCATATTTTTGTGCCGCCAAAGCCTTATTTGACCGGTGAGTGATGTAGATGATTGATGTAAAGTGACTGTTCCTTGATCATTGTAGCCAATCATAGACATATCCAATGAGCGTGTGAACACAATGGCCAATCAACAGCGCTCAAAGCATAGAGTGCCGAAGTGACGACGTCACTTTGTAGGACACCTCAGAAGCTAGCAGCGCATGGGTTCCCTCGGTCGAAAAGCAATCCATTTTCCCCTTAGACTTTTGGAAAATCGCAAAAAATAAGATCTGTGTTTAACGAAGAGTTGTGACCCTTACACGTTTTGTCTATCAAGATAATCTTTACAAGTTAATCCAAAATTTATAAATTTTGAAGCCTTATATAAAGTTTTTTAAAAACACAATCAGACACAATAAAGTTTAAAAAAACGCACAATCAGGTTATAACTGTGTGTTTTACGTCATAGATCAAAACGTGAAAATATTTAGAGGCTTTTTTCACCACAGACCTTATTTCAGGCGATTTAGCAAAAACCCATTCAAAAGTCCCATAGACTTTAGAGCGATGGGACCGGGAGTGCTAAAATGCTAACTCCCGCGTTTTCAGTGCCAACACTACTTTAGTGTCCCATGATCCTTTAGAAATCATTGTAATATGCTGATTTGGTGAAACATTTCTTATTATCATCAATATTGTAAACAGGTCTGTTTTCTTCTATCTTGTGTTTTCTTTTTGTGGAAAATGTGATATTTTTTTTAGGATTTCATCAAAGAACAGCTTTTATTTGACTTTTTTTCATTTTTTTTTTCATTTTTGATCCATTTAATGCATCCTTGCTGAATAAAAGTATTAATACTAATATCTCACTGACTTCAGACTTTTGAACTGTAGTTTACATATTATGCATTTTCATAAATACAGGCAGAAAGATGTGCGGAAGCTCCCGGGACGATGAGAACAGCAAAGAACGATGTTCAGGCAGAAGAACGAAATGCAACCACTGTCAACTCTGTAAGCCAGTCTCTGCCAACCAGTCTTTATATTGCATATTATCTCAGCATTATAATACCTCAATGTATGTTCTCCATAGGCCAAAGTATCCACTCCATTGGCCCCACCTCCCAAACCGGTCCGTCGAAGACTGAAATCAGAAGATGAGCTTAGACCAGATGTGGAGGACCTTCCCCAAAAGTCTAACGTCATAGCCACTGTTCTAGCAACCCAGCCCTCAATTCAACGGTGAGCTCAACTGTCAATCCATCAGAAGAGAAAAATGAATATTTTATTGTTATTGTGGCAATATTTTCACAACAATAGGCGTATGTCACACTTCCCGCTTCCGGAACGCGGAGTAGGGATACAGAACTTCCAGTCAGCGCTATTTCTCGATAAGGATTTAGATTATCAGCCCTAATGTCTGAACCATCCGAGGTAGACTGAACACGAGCTATGAGGTTGTGAAACGAAGGTTTTTGCTCCTGTTGAAGCTATAAGTTTATATGAAATCAACCTTGTTTTAAGAAAAACATGTTTTATCCACAATCTTATGGAAAAAAATACACTACCCACAATTCTAAGCATAGTAGTGTCTGCTGATTGGTCCAACTCGCTGTTACCAAAGAAACGTTTACCTTACTGGCGAACGGCTTGAGCTACCCGCGGCTATTGTTGTGGTGCCCCGGTTTGCTCTGTGTCAGGACCAAGCGTGCCGCACAAGCCCTCAAAAGTGAAGCCAAAACGTCTCGATCGCCCCCCTGTGACCGGTCCTAGTATAGCTCATAACCCCCGCCTCCCGATGTTATTCAATGGGACGCGAGACCAACTAAACAATTAAATTACACTTCACATATCATTTTTCCAAAGATAGTTTCTGTCATTTACTGTAGTTTCTATCACGTTGATGTAATTTCAAGTGTTCGTTTTTAAAATAAGTTTGTTTTTAGTTAGTTATGTGATGATAAAAAACGGTGCTCTGACATCATGATTGACAGCTGTGATTGACAGGTTCTCTGTGCGAGGTAGTCACTGAAAGCACCAGCGGACTTTTTTTAATAATGTTGATTATGTGGTTAGTAGTTGTATTTACCTTATTTTAACTAGGTTTTGCAATCAGCAGACATCATTGGAGAAGAACGAAGCAGACAGAGGCCACTTAATGAAAGTGAGGGGCGTGTGCTTGCGTTTGATTCAGCGAGAATGAGGGCGCGGCCTTGATTTCGCGGCTTTACTTCCTGCTCATGACTGCGCATGACTGGTCCCGAAACACGCAAGTGCGCAGACTCAGGTCCCAAAATGTCAGCGTCATATCGAGACACTGGCGGCTTCGGTTCTCTCTGATGGAAAAGAGCGAAGTCGTCCATCTTTTTTTACAGTCTATGGTCAGGACATTGACAGCTATACCTCAGCTTTCACGCTTTCTCACTTGAGAGTTTTCATTTACCATCCAAACCAAATCGTCATATGTGACTTCAGGCAGGTTGCGGAGAGATTTGGTCCTGTGGCATCTATCGAAATCCACCATTGTAAAAAAACTAACCGGAAGAGCCGTATCCCTACTAAAAGACGTACTTCCCGGTCTTAAATTTTTTCCTGACATAGGCCTATTAATAAATAAAAAACTCTGGGTACTATGTTTGCTTGTATCCTAATGTGTGCCTCCTTTGCATATTCTGTTTAAAACAGGTCTATCGGTAAGGATAAAAAGGCAATCCAGGCTTCCATTAGAAGAAACAAAGAAACGAATACAGTTTTAGCCCGACTCAACAGTGAATTACAGCAACAGTTGAAGGTATTGCGAGACGCGTTTTAAATGTGACAACCAGTTTTATAAAACATACTGTGTTCAAAAGTGTGACCGATTCGTCTTTCCCCAAATTTTGTCTTCTTAGGACCTGCTAGAAGAAAGAATATCTCTTGAAGTGCAACTGGAACAGCTTAGACCTTTTTCGCATTTGTAACCAGAGTGTGTGTGTGCTTGAGATTGAATGTGTGTAATGAAAGAGTGATTACCCCTTTTTTTTTTTTTTTTGGTCTGTTGGATCCTCTGGCAGGATGTTCATTTCACCCATCTCCACTCCTCTGCTGACTGTGTGAGATGAGACAAAATCGCTGCTTCCTCCAGACCGTTCTGTCTCACACAGCCATTCAGAGGGATGGAGCCCAAGATTATTATCTGTTATGGCACTTTGATGAAACAAAGTATGAGTGGCTGTATATGTAATACCCCAGACATTGCAGGTTATGTTTAGTGTGTGAGGCAAGAGCCTGATGTGATGGCCGGCAAGAGGCTGTAATTCTGGTTAACATGAAGGAGCCTCTTCCCCTCCTGTTCTCCAGAGTCTGGAGGCAGCTTGTCATGTTCTTCCATGTTAGGGCACCCGTGTGTGCTCAGACAATCATATGAGGCCATGCGCTGGTCCTAAAAAGGGGAGAACTGATTTTTGGGAGATCATGTTATTTCAAAAGTATGCTTCAGTAAACTGATTCTGACAGGCACTTGTTAAAAGGACAGTTCATCCAAAAATGCCATCGCAAACCTGTATGACTTCTTTTTTTCTTTTCTTGTGTGCTGTATTTCAAATGTTTTCTAGTTATATGATTGTTTTTTTACAAGGAACAGAAGCTTATTTTCTGCTCTAGTTAACTGGAGCGACTGAATCGTTGAACTAACGAACTGAATCAGTCAAATTTGTGAACGATTCATTCATTTACTTTACTTGGATCAACTGAATCATGAAAAGGATTCAAACAAAATCAAAAGAATCGCTTGTTCACAAATCAGGCTACCTCTCATGACAAAACGGCAAAGAGAATTACAAATAATGACTCAAGTCTATCCCTAAAGTAAAATCTATTTTATGGCTGAAAAAATTTTGAAATATAATGCACAAGTGAAATGAGCATCTACTTTAATGCCTCTTTTGTTTGTTAGCCCTCATTTACTTTTATTATATTTAAAAAAGTTGATACACGGATGAAGGAAACTCGTACAGGTTTGAACGATTTGGATCGAAGTTATATTCGGATGAACTAACCCTTTAATATTTCTTCCTTGCCATACCAATGGTCGGCACGTTGTGTGTGTTTGTTTCAGAGAGTGTTTGAGGACAACCGTTACAAATGAATGGCATCAAAGGCTGCTTTATTTCCTTCTCTTAACACACTCTGTTTTGGTATAACAAAGCGACCCGTTCGACCTTGTACAGTCTTTCACCCAGGGATGGCAGATGTTCCTCTCTCAGTCTCAAATGTTGGCTGTACCTCATACGGTACATCATCTGCATCATAAACTCTGTGACATCATTAGTACATAATTGTGAGACCTGAAACAATGACTGCACTTTCTCCCCTTCGGCTTTCGTTTGTCTTTTCTCGTCACTGTTTTTTGCATGTCGTTCACAATCTCATTTTGTATAAAACGGCTCTTAACGATGAACCACTTGATTTGTATCTGTAACGTCTGAACTAGTGTGACGTTTGTGTTGTTACATAGATTTGCGTCATGTCTCTCATTCATTGATTGTTTTTGACTGATGTCTGTCTTTTTCTTTTACTCATCCTTAAAGCCTTACTTCCTGGTGTGCAGGTTTTCACAGTAATGTGTCCCCCATGTTAAATCAAGGTGAGCCTTTTCTCCCCGCTGTTCAGACTGATTTACTGTATCAGGGGTATGTTGTATATTGTATGATACACACCTTTTGATCTCGTATGTAAATTTGCATTAATTGCTGACTAACAGCAAATATTCTATTTAATTGCTCATATAATGGCTGTGGGATCATAAATGTTTAACTGCATGGATGTGTCTCTGCAGAATGAACTAGCAGCTGTGTGATTTTTACACAAAATAAAAATGGCACAATATTTTAATAATTTCCCTTTTTGTCAAGCGCTCCAACTGTTTTTCAGTAGTCCAAAGTCACTGTTTACATTACTCCTATTGTCTGTTTTCTTGTTACAAGGCACATGGACAAACTGTGATTTGGAGATGGGAATTATTCACTGACTATGCTGGTTGTATCATCATAGGTCATTAATTCTTTGGTTCATTTGAGAATGAAACCAGTGACTATGAGTGAGCCATTGAATCATTCAAAAACTGCTATGTTTGTGTTGTGTGGAAACCCAATGTTTTTTTTTTGGTAGAGCAAAACCAAAGTAACTGGCAATATTGTGTCTAAAATGTAAGTAACTCGTCACTAAAGTAATATGTATAATAATTATACAAAAAAACATACAAATTACATGGTTGTAGTCTGCTGATTTGATTGGACAAGAGTGCCAATACAATGGTCTGAAACCACATTTATATCCATTTTAAACCTAAATGTTTTAGGATAAGAATATATAGAACAGCAGTCATGCTAATCTGATTTTTTTTTGTATATATTGAAATTGAAGAGTATAATTCTAACATTTTCATTTAGTTTTAATCCAGATGAGGGTGAAGTTGAATGCGAAGTTGTGCTATCATAGAAAAATTAGAGCAGAAGTGTAAATGCAGAACAGCATAAATAATTGCAAAGTGCAAATACTCATTAGGCAATGAATTACTTAAAGGACTAGTTCACTTTTTAAAAAAACTTTTGCTGATAATTTACTCACCCCCATGTCATCCAAGATGTCCATGTCATTCTTTCTTCAGTCAAAAAGAAATTAAGGTTTTTGATGAAAACATTCCAGGAATTTTCTCCATATAATGCACTTTACTGGTAACCAAACGGTTCAAGGTCCAAAAGACAGTTTCGGTGCAAACTACAAACAGTTCAAAGGGCTTTAAGCGATTCCAGACAATGAATAAGGCTTTATCAAGCGAAACGATCGCTCATTTAAAAAAAAAAAATTCTGTGATGCGCGTTCGTGACTCACCTGTTCGAACTCGTTTATCAAAATGAACAAATCTTTTTTTTTGTGTCATTTGGTTCATTCAACGAACGAAATGAACTAATTGACTCGGGAAAAGATTTGTTCATTTTGATGAACGAGTCCGACCAGGAGAGTCACGAACGTGCATCACAGAACAGAGCAAGGTGAGCATTTGAGCTTATAAAACTTAAACTTTGTTATATATTTTTTACATGAGCGATCGTTTCGCTTGATAAGACCCTTATTCATCGTCTGGAATCATTTAAAGCCCTTGGAACAGTTTGCACTAAAACTGTCTTTTGGACCTTGACCCATTTGGTTCCCATTGAAGTCCATTATATGGAGAAAAACCCTGGAATGTTTTCTTCAAAAACCTTAATTTCTTTTCGACTGAAGCAAGAAAGACATTGACAAGAAAAGATCTACCTTCGGCCTTGTTTTTAAGGTTTCATTGGATTCTGCTGTTTGGATGGAGGTTGGAAGTTCCACCACAGGAGGAAAGTGAATGAATGTTATAGTAGGTGACCTTTTACTCTTATTAACATATGGAAACTGCTATGCAAGCAATTTTACACCACCTTGTAGCTCATTAAGAGAAATTTTGTGTGTTTTATTGATATTTGTCAATGTACAGTTGATTATATTTTCAGAAGCACTTATTCTATTAAATCTCTGTAGGGTCTCTGAGCGTTAAATAGGATGAGACAGAAGGAATAATGCTAGACAACAGAAATCCAGCTACATGAGCACAGCATCTGTCAATATTAATATAGTTCTAATTCATAAGGTTCTTCTCGAGTGCTTTTCAGAAATGGTCTTCACTGGAAGTTCCCGCCCTCCAAAAGTTTTAGTTTGTGACCCTGGAGAAGAAAGCATTAATGGTTTTGATCGTTATGTAATCGTATAAGTTTTAGAATGAACCGAAATGGAAAGATTGCTGTAATAACTCACACAGTGTTCTGTTTGTAATGATCCAAAGCCTCCTGTGCCACCACCTCTGAGAATTTTGGGTCGCTCCAGGGAATGTCTCCTGGCACTGTGAAGCTCATAACTGGCCCGTCGAACAGTCTGGCTGACACTTTAGTGTCAGTTGGATCATCTACATTATCTGAGCCTTTTGACATCACCTGTACACAAAAAAGTTGGTGATTGAGTGATGTGCATAGTAAAAGGGGTTGCGGTTGTTCTGAATCACATAAGTAGGACCTACTGCCTGTATTTTGAAGAAGCCATCTTCATTTTTGGTGTGGTTAGCTAGAGAAGACACCCAACCGAATTGCTTGTTAAACAGGTCCAGCACACTAGAGGTGTTGAACATTTTCTCTTCGAATTGCTTTAGCAGGTTGTTGTACTCCTGGGTGAATGTCTCAGCCCTGGCAAGAGCCTTCTCCAGCTCCTCCTTCACAGGGCCTTCCAGGGGCCTCTTTCCAGAACAGTCTGAGGAAGAGAACAAGGCCCTAGTTGTTAGATAACTGAATTCTCTTATTAATATCCCAAACTGGGACCAAAATATTGTAAGTTCTGTGCTGGTTGGGTAATATAACATGAAAACAAGGCATTTTAATATTGCACTTACCAATATGCTGGATCTCTTTACATTTCTCACACTCCTCCTTTAGGTTAATGCAGCCAGCCGAATTGCGGCGGATTTCCCTGCAGGTCATCTTATCATTTCCAAATGGTTTCGATATAATAACATCCTCGTTTACTCTCCCATCTGTGAATACAGGTTTACAGATTAAATGCATCTGGAGTATAAGCAGTCTGTAAGTAAACAAATAGTTTTGTAAGCACTATTATATCCTATCATATCATAGTATATTGTAGTCTGTATTGTCATATTGCCAAGTCAATAGGAAATGAATATGTTTGGTCATAACATTCTTTAAAATATCATCTTTTGTGTTCTGCAGAAAAACAGAAAGTCTTATGCTTCATCAGAAATCACATACTGTATAGTAAGTAGAGGGGTTTGAAACTTCACGACCATTCAAAAGTATGTTCTAGATAGTATGAATGTATGTAGTATGAAATTCAAATGTATCACATCTGGCATATTGTTATTGTCATGTGCTCTGTGAAATGTGTTGCTTCACTGTCAATCACAACTCCTCTTTCCCATGGCCTCATCGAATAAATTGTCCATTGAATACAGTAGCACCTCAATGCAGTACACGAGATCCAGGGGGCGGAGTTGGATCCAGATCTAAGTGGTGGAGATGGGTAGGATTAGGGGTGGGATTAGGGATCAGGGGTGGAGATGGGTAGGATTAGGGGTGGGGATAAGGGTTAGGGTTCAGGGGTGGAGATGGGTAGGATTAGGGGTGGGGTTAGGGTTCAGGGGGTGGAGATGGGTAGGATTAGAGGTGGGGATAAGGGTTAGGGTTCAGGGGGTGGAGATAGGTAGGATTAGGGGTGGGGTTAGGGATCAGGGGTGGAGATGGGTAGGATTAGGGGTGGGGATAAGGGTTAGGGATCAGGGGGTGGAGATAGGTAGGATTAGGGGTGGGGTTAGGGATCAGGGGTGGAGATAGGTAGGATTAGGGGTGGGGTTAGGTTCAGGGGGTGGAGATGGGTAGGATTAGGGGTGGGGTTAAGGATCAGGGGTGGAGATAGGTAGGATTAGGGGTGGGGTTAGGGTTCAGGGGGTGGAGATGGGTAGGATTGGGGTGGGTTAAGGATCAGGGGGTGGAGATGGGTAGGATGTGGGATGGGTTAAGGATCAGGGGGTGGAGATGGGTAGGATTGGGGTGGGTTAAGGATCAGGGGGTGGAGATGGGTAGGATTAGGGGTGGGTTAAGGAACAGGGGGTGGAGATAGGTAGGATTAGGGGTGGGGTTAAGGATCAGGGGGTGGAGATGGGTAGGATTAGGGGTGGGGTTAAGGATCAGGGGGTGGAGATGGGTAGGATTAGGGGTGGGGTTAAGGATCAGGGGGTGGAGATGGGTAGGATTAGGGGTGGGGTTAAGGAACAGGGGGTGGAGATGGGTAGGATTAGGGGTGGGGATAGGGTCTAGGGGTGAAGATGGGTAGGATTAGGGGTGGGGTTAGGGATCAGGGGGTGGAGATTGGTAGGATTAGGTATCCCCTGGATTCCGTGTTCTGCAGTGAGGACATCTCAGTGAAGGTGCAGTTCATAGTCGCAACGGAAGTATTAGGTAATCCACGTGCTTTTTAGCTTGCTGTTTTTGGAATACTATGCATTCAGACACTACTCTTTTGGCACACTATTTTTCGCATAATATACATAGTAAGAAAGTATTTGATTTCAGACACACTAATACAGTTGAGGAATGGCACGATGGGTGAGTAAATGACAGAATTAAAATTTTTGGGTGAACTACCCCTTTAAGTGTGACTTTTAACGTTGTACATGTTGTTACGTCGAGACTTGTTGATTCTGAAATTTACCTTCGGTGGGGAAATCCACATCACTTCCCATGTAGTTGAATGACTCAAACATGTTTCTTGCCATCTCCATCATGGGGCGGAACATGCTGTGGAAGCTCTGGAATTCCGGGTCATGCAAGGGGGACCTGTAGATACGAGCGGCCCGCCCGGCCGTTGCATCCTGTCTGCCGAACATGCTGGGCATACGGAATGGACTTGGGAAAAGGCCGGGCTGGTGGAAGGCATGCATGTGGTCAAACACCCTCATGCTGTCCGTGAAGATGTTATCTACTCCATCTGCAACCTCTGTGTACCGTTCCTCCAGGTCCTGGAAGCGCCTGGTCTGCTGCTGGTCCTCATCCACCAGGGTCTCAATGTTCTGCCCATTTATCCAAATGGAGATGGGAGAGGTCCTGTTCAAAACCTCCTCCAGCTAAAGACAGACAAAGAGCGGGATGGTTAACACCAGAATGAGTTCAGGATTATTACAGGGATGATTGTGCAGACGTGTCACCTGTCGTCCCACCAGGCCAGCTCCACTGCTGCAGGTGCGTGAGTAATACTTCACACAGGTTTTTCTCAAGCAGGGCTTGCACTCCTCCCACAGAGCCTGCATGGTTTCATTACACATTCTCTGTTCCTCACTTAGCTTCTCCTCCATCTCTTTAGCCATCTTCAGAGCAGTCTTTATAATGGAATAGCACAAGAAAAAAAATAATAAAACGAGATATATGTATTATAAAAAGTGACTGCGGGGCAAAAGAAAATATTTTGACACTTAAGTAACACTTGAAAATGTATAAATGTCATTATATTATTTAAGTACACTTTACAATAAGGGTTCAACGTGTTCACATTAGTTAATGCGTTGTTATCATGAAGTAACTAAGAACAATTTATCTAGGTTACTGCTAATTTATAAATATATTACTGTTGTGTTGATTTATTAGCTTGAATAATACATTAGCTAATGGTAATTTATACAACTTGACACGTTAACAATGCATTTATATATATGAAATCTTAATATAATATTGTATATGTAGAATATATAATTCATTTACATAATATTTTCTCAACATTTAATGATCTATGTAATGTTAAGGTATATATATTATTGTTAATTTATCATAAATCTATCATAATCTACATAATGTATCTTTGTTTTATTGATCAAGGTTATATACTATTGTTCATTGTTAATTCATAATTAATATTTCAAGTTGTATAAATGAACATTCGTTAAAAATGCATTAATATATACTGTTTGTAAATTATGTACATATTTTTTCCCCCAGCATTTATTGATCTGTTAATGGAAAGTTATAAATTATACTGTTGTTCATTGTTAATTCATAATAAATTTGCTTAAGTGTAAATACGTTTACAACTTTACTTTACATTTAACCAAGATTAATAAATGCTGTATAGTTTTGTTCATTGTTTCACATTAGTTACTATAAACCAATGTACTTTTAAATTGTATATCATTGTTTATGCTTGTCCAGTTCAGAACATTAGATTTTTATAAACGACTCTGAGTTTATTTTGGCTCTCTCACCTCTTTCTGTTGCTTGGTTTTCTCCAGTTCAGACAGAAATCTTTTGTGATCCTCTCCTGATCGCTCCATCACAGTCTTCATCTCCTTCACCCCAGTGATGGCATTTTCAATCTGCTTATCCAGGTACTTTTCACCAAGCACTGAAATCTCTGCCAAAAAGCAATAATGGTTATACATTACTGTCCTGTGGTTGTTCACAGTTGTTTTTAATGTTTTAACACACACTTACGGCTGAGCTCCTCTTTAGTTGGAGGTAGCAGACACTCTGCGGAGAGGTAGAGTAGAGAAAGCCCCAGCAGAGACCATGAGACCTTCATCTTTGGTGGCGGCTTATGTCCTGATGAACAGAAGCTGTGAACAGAGGTCAGGAAATAGTGGGTCAATCGATAGTAAAACTTTATTTTTCAATTAAGCTGCGGTGAAAGTGACTCAGCAAGTTTATGACCATGAACAATTGCAAAACCCACACTTCTCCTACAAACTGTGTGGACAATGAATCCACTGTATCAGCGTACCTATTTATAGGTCTGAAATAAATATTGTCAGTGTCTTTCTGTGACCTTGATGTTTCTGAGCAGAGGCCCAAGCATATTTATTGTGCCTTAGTCCTCTTTGCAACTATTTTATATATTATTATTATTATATTATATTATTATACTTTTAATCTCCCTTAAGATGCATGTTAAAGTGATAGTTTACCCAAAAAGAAAAATTCTACTTTTACTAACACTCATATCACTCCTAACTGAATGCATTTGTGGAACTCAAATGAAAAATTTTGTCTTTACAGTGAAAGTAACGCTAATTTGTACCCTGTTGTCTTTCACTCTATGCACAAAAACAGTATCTTCTTTTGTGTTCTGCACAGTCACACTCACAGATTTGTGTAAATGATGACTCATGTTTTGGGTGAACTATCCTTTTATCAAACCAAATGGATTTGAAGAACACAATCAGTGGAAGTGCAGCAAACTTGTGACCCTTTGAACGTTTATATATGTTCCCTTCGGTGATTACATGGATTTGGGTGCAAATCCCCTTCACTAAAGCTTTCAAAACGGTTGCTCCGACAAAACTTAATCCTACTTTTGTGAGTTTGTGATTCCAAGCAAGTTACCCTTTTCAAAACGCAGCACTTTTAATCATGTTGGACATTTCTCAACAGTAAGACAAGCCATTGGTCCTCAACAGCTGCTGCTGGATTCGTAATTCACACCAGAGTCCAAGTAAACATCATAAAAGCTTCGACTCAGTCATGGGGATAATCTCCTCATTTTACTCTGGACGTGTACATAGAAACCCCAAATCGGCCAAGTTAAAGCCAGGAGCCTAGTTACATAAGAAACATGCACAGATGTCACTCAACAGGAAGAGACAATGAATGGAAAGGAATCTTAAGGCAAATGGAAATTTTTGGGATTTGAGGTTCCTCAAGAAGTTTTCATTTTATCTTATTGTTCCCTGTGTTTTTGAATTAATCTTGTCCTTGTGCCTAATCTTGTGATATTTGTTTTGGAACGAAGTTATACATCTCTGGCATGTGGTGTTTATTAGAAACAACGTGAATCACACAGATGGCTTGTTCCGAGTGAGGAGGTTTGCTTTGTTTAATGTTATCTTGCTAGGGCACAGTGTGCACTCTGAATGCATTTGACCTTAGCTTAGTTCCCTCATCAGCTTATGGCTGCGAGACAAATTCCTCTCTGCAATATAAAAAAATCAATACAAATTCGCCTAGGGTATGCACAAACTCCAACAGCCCAGATAGACTTTTTGGATGACATTACGTTAACTACATGAGGGTGCATTGCAATTCATAAACAGCATAAATTATACGTTATACTATCTCATGCCAAATAAAATTGTACAAACAGAACCTTGTTTACATTTTTGCAGCTGTGGGATATTGCTCAGTTGTATGGTAATATGCATAAATGTAGCATTCGTTACAATGCAATTAAACACTAAAAAGGTATTACATCACTGTAACTTAATATAAAAAATGACTTGCATATATGTATATATTCTAAGATAGTATATAATAAAACCATTAACATACAACTCTAGTCTGTACTCACCCTGCTTTGATGCTTTTTCTTCCTTGCAGATGGACTGTGCCGCCTCTGATTTGTTTATATACTGGGAGGCTGGGTGATGTTGACGACGTGATTCACGGGATGAGAATGGCTGTGGCTTTGGACGGTTCCAGAAACTGTTATTCTCGACAGCAGAAGCTCTCTCTGACCAGAAGTGGGCAATATTGCACCGTTTTGCTAATCTCATTGTGCATGTAGGGGCACATACTGAACATGAGGTTTACGGGAAAAAATGCCTTCTAGAATTTACCGGCAAAGACAGACAGTATGTGGATAACTCATCACTGTCAGATAGCTCCGACTTTCAGTGGTGAATCACCTTAACATGAGCCACATAACATCTGCTCGAACGGTGCAGAGAACAATCCTGTGAATCATGAGGAGGTAGAACACCAGTTCTGAAACGAAGGAAAACCCGTGTGCCCATTTTTGCAGGTTATACAAGCCCGAGTTTAATAGGCACACTCGACATTAGCCCCTATAATAGTCTAGTCAACCAGGTGGCTTCATATACGTGCCAATTATTTTGCCGGTTATGTAACATTACTCACTGTAATGTTAAAATAATAATGTCAGTGAACCCTGCAAGACTTTCTGGAAAGACTTACGCTGAGACTTATAATGCTCACAGTCATAACAGACATAAACATGTTATTTTGGAAGAGATTATTATGTGTGCTTTGACCGAAACATGTCATCACTTATTGCATTTTGCACATTAAGATTGGGCAACAACCACAGAAAATCAGTCCTGCAGTGGATGGAAACTGGTGTTTCAGTCACTAATCATGTCAGGTAGCTTTCGTCCCCTAGACTCAAGTTCACTTAGCTTTTTGTGACAAAGCCAGAGGAACCTAAATGTCAGGAAAGCACAGCTCATTATGTTCTGAAAGTTAGGCTTGGTGATTCAAAGCTTGTTTTTCATGCTGTGTGAGATTGCACTCTGTTACTTTATCTAATTAATGGTGTTTGCTAAGGCAAGCATCACTATTATTACTGCTTATATGTATGTGTGTATATATATATACACATACATACATACATGTATTTTTAATGCATTAACAAAACATGTGGCTTGTTGAAGATGTGTGTTATTACTTTTCTAAACGGTCAATGTTTTCAGATTTCACCTGGCAGACACTAACACTGAAGGAGGAAACAAAACCATATCTAGAGACCAGAATTCGAGTGTGCTGTTTTGACTTGGAAAAGTGAGCGAGTAACTGCATAGGAACACCCTGTCTAACTAACCTCAAAAACTCTCATCATGGCAGAGAGTTTTGCACTGGTAAGTTGCACTTACATATATCAGAATATGTAAAAATCAAATGAATGAGTTTTTATTTTTTCCCCAAATACTTTGTCAAGTCATGGGTCTTGGACATTGACTTGCATAAATACCTTTTGGTTTTGATAATGTGGCTCCATTTTCTTAGTGGCAACAGAACAGGCGTATTTCATTTGCATCCAGTAAATATGACCTGATCGCTGCTTTTGACCCCTGTCCTCTCAAATGGAGATCTCATCTCATAAACAATACCAGTGAGTGGTCCTCCTCTGTCAATATCACTCACAGCATGCTGTAAAGTATTAAACATCCCACCCTATTTTTTGGCATTTTAAATGCAATTGCACAGAGGTTTTATATCTATTGTCACGTTGCCTTTGCCAAAACATTTTGTTTCTCCTGCCATTGGTTCAAGAAATTGCCTTTTCTATTTTACTTCCCCATTTTTCAAAATGAAAGATTAAATACATCATCAGTCATTCTCCCCTAACATGTTTTTGTCTTACCCTGATTCACTATGGTAAGCCTTTTATAAGTGTTTATACTTTAGGCCTTATTGGATGGTTTTCGTGGGATATTGCATACATACACTGGCCCGTGCGTGTCTCGTCATATCCGAAAAAGAGAAAAGCTGCTCCAGTTAATTATTTAAATATTAATTATTTAATTTAGTTAATTATATATATATATGCCAAACACAGTCTGCTAGCAAAGAGAATGCAACAGAACTCGTAATAAAACAAGAATCAACATTGGCTTGGTTTTCGGTGATGGCGAGGGATTTGATATGTTGTGAAAGATCCTGAGATGGCAAATGCCATATGTAGTTCAAAATTCATTTCAAAACATTATCTATAATGAAAGATAATTTTGTCATGGTTGTTGTAGCGCTAGAATTTATTTTCAAGGAACTACCGTGTCTGTTAATGGGTATAGCTACAGTAATGTACAGTAATGTAAATCCTTTCCATCTAAACTGGTTATATCACTTAAGACTAATAGTGAATGTTTTGAGCAATAGAATAACCATATTTATTTGAAAAGTCTCACAGATCCGAAACACAACCAAAACAATGTTCTTCCACAAAATGCATGCGTTTTTTACCGTTTGAGGGCCAAAAGTCACATTTTTATATAATTTAAATAATGACAGAATTTTTATTTTTGGGTGTACTATTCCTTGTAACATTCGTTTGGTCCTCTGGGTGGCAGTAACTCCTATGAAAGTCCGAGACTAGGATGGAAAGCGTAGCTGTGGGGTCATAAACAGAAAGGCTGCTCCCTATCAAATAAATGACAACAGTATCTTCATAAATATGCATAACAGTTGTTATGCATGTTTCTATAACAGTTATAGGGAAAAAAAAGGTATTCGTCCCCAGAACCGAACAGCTGTGCAAAATTTTGTTTACATATTGAAGTCGTCTGAATCAGTTTGAAGGCATATTAAGTTCCAGATGGTTTTCACGCTAGTCTATTAAACACTACTCTGTTTGCTGGCATTATTTACAGTTTTGGCAAACAGATCAAAGCTGGTGGTTTTGGAGTAATTTGATGCATGCTAGCACTGCTTCACCACATATGGAGGTGCAGTTAACAGCAGATAATCTGCTAAACCTCTCATTCACTTAAATATTAGTTGTTTTTTAATTGTTTTTTAATCCAACAGCTCAAAATAATACTTGTGGAATTAGATAAACCTTTAAGCTGTAACCATTACAATTGCACAAAATCTTTTTACACTAGCTGTCAGCATCTCATTATTCTTTCCTCAGTTAAAATGTAATCAATCTCAATCAGATTATTTATTAAAAGCACATTTGCTTCCACATCTGCACAAATATTAACAACAAAGCTAAAATAGTTATCTATGAACGCCATCCAAGTGAGAGCTTGCACTCAAGTTAAATGAGAAACATGATACACTTTTGATTAATTTAGTTTAGTCCAGTTCTTTATTTATAGAGCTGTTTTTGCGAGAACAGTGGATAAGGAAGTGCTTAACTAAGACTGAGTGTAATGGCTAAAAGGAACACTATCAAGTAAGTACTATATAGCCATAATATTACCATAAAATTTTGTCCCAATGTACAATGATGGTCTTCTTTAAACACTATGGTATGTGAATATTTTCATGTTTATTTAGTTCCGTGGTATTTCATTCTAGTGAAGGTTCTTGTCAGACAGCACTTTTACTATCTTCTTTCTTTGTGTTATGTTTTTTTTTTCTCTTTTTCAACTTTTTTTTGTTCTCTGTAGGTAATCACGGAAGAACAATAACAGACAAATGATCTTGAGGTGGAGTTTTTTTTGTCTTGAACACATTAGGATTAAAAAAAACAACCTTATACCATCATCTTCTTTTTCCCAAATCCCAGCACCATGAATGGAAACTGTGATTGCAAAACGTTCTCTCCTGATAACACCTTAACTGTATAATTCTGTGATGTAAAACGCATTTCAGGCCATGATTGACATTCACTGACCTTTGGCTATTACATGATTAATGGCTTTTACATGGTTTTAATTAATCCATTTTTTTAATAGTAACAGGAACCATGAATCCCACGTGCTTAATCAGAAACACAAGCCATCAAAGATATGTGTGTGTCTCATGGAAGGAGAATGGCATCCCGAAAAGAGGTAAAAGTCATGTGCCTCCAAAGGCATAGACCATTGATACCCAAACAGAATCACACGTACTTGTTTTTTCAAATAAGATAATTACAAACACATTGTCTTAAAACAATAGTTCACCCAAAATAATAGTTCACCCTCATTTGTTGCAAAACTTTGTTTTCGCTGTGGAACATGTTTTGAATAATGTTAATGTTGCTCTTCTATTTACATATAATTGTGACTGTCAATCCCCCCCAAAAAGTAAAAAAAAAAAAAAAGTGGCCCAAATGAGTTGTGTGCTATATTTTAAATCTGAAGAAGCCTTGCAATAGTTTGTTTAAGGAAAAGACAAAAATATATGTTAGAAGGGGGCACAGTTTGACTTTAAAGTATTCAAATTAATATCTTATTATTATATAAAAATAATCTAACTAAATTAAAATGGAAAAAACTTCTCCCCTCTATAACTATTGTTTTTACTGAAAATAATATAATTTTATTCACAATATTACTAAAATGAATCATGGTCAATAAATTCAATACCAATAAATCCCGGTTTATGGGATTTACTCTGATTTTTCCCAAATAGATTTTTTTTTGTGAACCAAATTCTCATTTCCTTAATCCTGACTGGAAAACATGACTGGAATCACTTGATATGACTTCAAACTAAATAATAATATTGCTCAATTGAACAAAAATGTTATTTTAAGCATATATACACTGTAGTTGAGACAAATTATGAATCTGAACTTTTGCGTTCATTAATAGCACAATGATGTTTGTCCTCTCCTCTCAACAACTCAAGAACAGCATGTCCCTTTTGCCAAACATAATTTGTAAATCTCCAACAACAAGAGGCCACAGAAGATAACGGTGCCTGTTGCTCCAATACCAGACATTTGTTAACAATTAGGCCGGTCCTCAAGACTGACTCACTGAAGCACGTGCACCGTGGCCCACCTCCTTTTCTCCTCCTTCTCCCTTCATCGACTCCCTCCCTTTCCCACACAGAAACAATCACTCCCTCTCTCCGGCATGTTTCCCAAAGCTGCACATGGTTACTGTCCAAGGTATTACTTTCCACTGGTTCTATAGCAAAGAGGAAGCTTGTTATTGAGGGTTCCTCTTGACACACCAGCTGTTGGATGCTGTGTCCTCGACATTGGATTAGTCTGCAGGTTTAGTGACTTATTTCTTGTCAGCAAACCAGTATTCTTCTTGACTGATGCTCTGGAGTCTGATGAGTCTTGACAGGTGAAATATATTTGGTCTCAAGTCTCCACATTCGTCTTTACCAAACTGACTGGGGGTGAATCAACATGAAAGGTAAGATATGTTTCTTTTTATTGATTCATACTTTGACTAATATGTTGTTGTTTTTTTAATTCATGTGTGAAATACTTGTAAATGCTGGCTAACATGAACTTGCTGACAGCACACACTCGAAGCTGAAACTCCGAGGTTCTAGAGAAAGCAGGGAGCTGTTGATGTTGGATTGGAGTTTGTGGTTCTGTTATTTTGACAGCAAAATACATCATACCTTCACCACTCTCAGCTGGACACTATTTGCTATTACATTTTCAGTTAGACTCATACCAATGGGGCAGCATTTTAGATGCTGGTTTCATTAATGCTAGTAGTTTTCATAAAAGGCAAGCGAGATCTTTTTGAAGCCAAGTGGAACATGTGGATCTGCATCCTATGGTGGTAGGATCTTGGATTTATAGTAAACGTATCCAAAATAAAGAGAAACATTTCTCTCTTTTAATGCATAAACCAGAGACCCATGAAAGAGCATGGCTCCTAATGCATTCCTCATGCTGTGAGAGATGTGCGATTTAAGCTCTTCATTCTTCAAGTGTGGGCAGCAGGTGTGGAGCCAGTGTTAACCGCAAACGCATACATTCCCTTCAGCTGTTTTCCCAAGATCTGACCAATGAATCTATTTGTAATAGACAGAAAGGGGCAAGCGAGCTCTTCTTATTCTTAGTTACATCTGAATGAAGTGTATAATATCTATAAAACACTCTTGATCAACATATTTATTTATAATTGAACACAGCATGTCCTGATTTTCCAAAGTTAGACACGTCCTGGGTCAACATATTTTGTTGAGCCTGGAACAACATTGCTGTCCAAAAATCTAATCCTAACCATATTCCTACACCTCAACCTAACCCTTCCCATATGTTACCTCTAAAATTAGTGGGAAATGATCAGTTAGTAAAATTGTGGTATTAAGATTATTACAGCTGGTGTTTGAATCCATCTCTTTTGTTCGCCTTCGACCACTTCTTTCCTGATTTTTTCAAAGAGAGGGTCTATGGGTGGGTAAATGTATGGGATTTTTCAGATCTCAGCAGTTTTTTTCTGATCTGATAGGATGACGCCTGAACGTGGTGAGGTGTTACAGCACCATAATGGTAACATGCCATTTTGTTTACGCATTAGGTCAATAGGTGGAGAGTAGGCAGTATTTACGCAGCACGCACAGTACGTCAATGTGATATCAGGAAGACGTTGTACTCTAACTAATCTAACGTCAGTCAGAAGTCATATTTTGGTTGAGAATGAAAGTTAGGTTGGCGTCAAGCTCCAACGTCAGACAGATGTTGAATTTTTGTTGGAGAAAGCACCGCAAAATATGTGACATGCTAGCAGCACATTAATTCTGTGAAAATCTCAGCAGAGGATGAGTAAACAACTCGAATAGCATTACCAGCTTCACTTATTAATGACCAGATTTGTTTTATTTAATTTTCGTTTGAATGAAATCAATGGTAGTATTTTAAAGTCACCATGATGGTGGTTAGCATTTGCCATATCTCCCAGCATGCATTGTGGCATTAATAAATTATGCAGCTGGATTTTTTTTGTAGTTTGTGAGTTCATTAGATTATCTGGATATTTTGTTTGATTGTCACCATTGTTGAGATTCATATGCTGTTTCTTGATGTCTGTGTACATCTAAGTAATGACGTAGATAAAAGGTTATTGAGCACTAAATAATATTTTAAAAACAAATATATTATGTGATAACACTGCTAGATATGCAGTAGAATCAAATGACTCCTATTATGAATAAAACAATTTTAAAACCACAAGCATTAGTCAAATAGTCAAAGCATTAAACCCTGAATAAGATCAAGGATTCAGGCAATTACATGATGATATCATCAATAAACAGCCAACATTATCTGATCTCATGGCATTTATAGCTATAATTGTGCTTAATAAACACACATGAATAGCAGCCTTGACACTTGACATTTTTTATATTAAAGTGTCAAGGGTCAAGAGCACAACTAAAGCAAATGCTAATCACCATCATGGTGACTTTAAAATACAAAATATGATTTCTGAAATGAAATAAAGTCAATTTGATTAGTTTTAAGTGAAGCTGGTAATAAGTGTACAGCCATGCTTTTCACCTTTTTGTTTGGTTTATTCCAACCAAAATTCAACGACTGCCCAGCGTTGGAGCTTGACGTCAAACAAACATTGGATTTAAACGTCAACCCGACTTTCAGTTTCAACCAAAATCCAACGTCTGACCAACGTTGTAGTCTATATCCTGTGCCTGCTGGGTAGTGGTTGTTCGAGAACGCATTGAGCGTTTACACTACGAAAGCAATCCGGTTGAATGCATTTTCGACTGCCTCTGGAAGTGAGCGAAAGTGGACAAGCTCAAAACGTTTTAGACCCTGTTTACATCTGTATTTAGCGTCGCACACTTGTGATCCGATCGACCAAAACGCAGTTTAATACCAGGTGTAAACAGGGCCTGATGTAGAAGCACCTAACTCTGGTTGTAAGCCTAAAGATGACATAAACTGTATTGTCTGATTGGTTGATTGGAATGTTGTTCCAGGATCAACAAAGTTTTTTTTTTTTAAAGCCTAAACTTTTTTTAAAGCCTAATGGGGTAGTCTTTAAGAAGCTGTAAAACATCCCAGAACATGTATTTTAATGTAATTAATGTGTGACTGGTTGGGTTGGGTGAGATTCACCTCCATTTTTAACTCCTTTATTATTATACACTAAGAATGTTTTCAATTATTCTCCATTGAACTTTATGGTTGAACTCTGCACATACTTTTTAAAATGCGTGTAAAGCAGTTGTACATCAAGTAGAACTGTACAGACACTTGTCTTTATTAGTTGTGGTTGGGTTTCTGTGGTTTGGAAAGACCCTGCCCTCTGCCTCTGCTTCCCATCTCAAGTTGCAGGCATTCCTGTCAGATGTTTTATACCCACTGCATTCATCTGGTCACATAATACCAGTATTACTGTATGTTTCCTGTGTTTTGGTGCTTTTCAGCAAAGTGAACCAATTTAAAGGCATGGGAACACTAGACAAAGTCTTTAACCCACAGTTTAGAGATCATGTACACTACGCCAATTCGTTCTTTTGGACATCAAAGCTCCTGAAGTTACCCTTGTGAATGCCTCATCAAGTAGCTTTACATTGCAATATTTGAAGGATTAGGAGAATCCTCAGACATCTTTGGCCTCTGTAGAAGGTGTTGAAGAGGTAAACCTCAAACTTTTGACATTGTGAAGTTCTGACATGTGATATCCTAGCCTTATTCTCAACTCTTGAGTTGTATAAACATGTGCTGCCCTTGCTGTATTTGTGGAAAAGAGGATAGCTGAAAGGATGCCTCATAACAAATTACATATTGTGAAGAAAATACTAAATTGGCAACCATTTTTTGATGGAGTAGGCTAATCTTGGTGACCAAGTCTTTAGAATGGGCACTGCCAATTATATTTTTTTCTCAAATTAGTACATGCCACCATTGTAATTCATGTGGTTTTAAGTATTCTCACAGTTTTCGAATACCAAGAATGAAATTTCAGCCTGTAGTGTTTGGTCAGGGCACAGATGTTGTTTTCATAGCTGGTTGTTAACATACTGTTAAACATCTGCCCAAGTGGATTGTTTTACTTGCGCTGTACACCTGAGATAACTGATATTTTAAGATTTTATCCTTCAAATGCTACCTAAATTGTGTCCATACTAATGTTACATTGATCATACTCTTTTACAGTGCCCTATATCAGACCAATTAAATTACATTTCTATGTTCTAAGGTCAACAAATGCTGTTGATTTTGAAAAAAAAAAAAACAGCAGACCTGGCCAGAAGTTTTACTGTATTATATTGTTGCATAACATGCAAACTGAAGACTCCTTGTTTACACGAAACTGTATTTTGAATTTTGACTCCCCACTCTTAATAAACACTGGCATATTGCCCTTATGTTTTCAGACTTCTAACGAAATCCAGAAACTTTCCATTTCCTCTAGATCCTTGTATGACCCGTCAAGCTAATTAAATAACTTGCCTCTTTTCATACTTCTCAAGTACTTGACCCTGCCATAGTGCTTTTCAATGGTTCTTTCCTTGTAAGCAATGTTTTGAAGGAGAATTCAGACATCCAGACCAGACTGGAGGGTCCCCTCCTTTTCCTCTGTACTGTTGGCAACACTCACGCTACCACAAGACCCAAGGTTGCGCGTGTTCCGAGCCACCTGTATAGCCAGGACTGGTGGGGATAAGTAAAGTCTCTCCACTTTCTCCCTCATCAAGCTTTTGCCCCTTCTAGCACTCTGGCTCCGGTAGACCTGACCTCAGCGGCTTGAGTAGTACGTATAAACAATCTCACCATGAGCTTAGCAGGGTTGGCATGCAATGCATTGCTCCAAGACGTGCCTGAGGTTTGAAAAATACAGACCCAAGATTTTAAGAAAACAGAAAACGAAGCAGGTGCAAACTCCCTGAGACTGTGGTATTGAGGGATGTTGTTTTAAAAGTGGTTGCTGAACAATAGTGTCCGATAAAGAGAAAACCGTTTGATGTTTAACAGCATTGACTGGCAGTTTCTGTTCTCTGGACCAAGTGCTCTTCAGCTGCAAGGTACAGGGACATTGAGTCATTATTCTTTTGGTGGTTTGCTTCTAAACTTGTCAAACTTTTTACACAAAGTGTTGCATTTCTGCAGACAGTTGATGCCCAATTTTTCCCATTTGTTTAAGTAAACCCTGGCTTGTTTCCAGAAACCATGACTTTGCAACATGGTAGATTGCAAACTTCAAAGACGCCTAAACATTTTCATGCTTTTTGTTTTTGTTTTCTTTTTGTGTATTCCTTCTTCCCTTGAGACAGCAAGCTCTGTGGAACATAGTTGGTCTTGGAGACCATAACACATCTCAATGTTTGTGGTCAAGTAGTATGTAAAATGGAACAGACTTAACAATGTTGATTCAGTTTGAAAACTTCTTTTTGTCTTTGTCCCTTGTGGATAAAGCTTCTTGGATCTTGGATTTTCTGATGGCATATAGTCTAATATATATATATAATATATATATATACACTTCTCTCACCAATTTCATGCATTTGTGCTTAATATAAGGCTCTTTCAAACAGTGACCTCATACTAATCAGTCCAAGTTTTTGGCTTGTACTAGCAAGCCAGCCTTATAGTTTTTCCACTCTTAGTTTATGATTTATTGTTTCTGCTGATAAAGCAAATGTGATCGTCATTCTCCTAGATACGTGTCATTCGATTGACCTTAATTTGCAAACACATACATCAACCCTGCTGCTCTTCTCCCCTCTCTTGCAGATAGCTATTGTGGCTACGAGAACCAGCTTTTTAATGGTATGTGGATACTTTTTCTTCTTTCAGTTTAATTTGGACCCTTTTGATATAGAGTTATAAGTCCAAATATGTCCTTAATCCCTGCAGTGGATCTAGTTGTCCTCTTATAATCTCCTGCAATTAAACTCTGAGACCCGACATGATGAAAATATTATGGTACAGTGTTTTGTACTGTGCAGGAGGTAGATGATGAGTCTCAAGAAGAATTGTGTTTGATTAGCCAACACGCTGAAAGATGATTTAGTTGGATTATGATTACATTCAAGTATGATGTTATGAATTGTAAAGTCATGACTTATTCGTGTTTTGTGCAATTTCTCTTTGTAGAGGAGGACTTAACTGGAGAAGAAGAGGAAATTCCTCCCCTGAGAGGTTAGAAAAATCATTTTTATTAAAGCGTATTGCTCTCCTTATTAATGGGGCATTACAGAGTACAAACTATGGAGTTAGGAGAAAGAAGTTTTACAGTAGTGATTCACTCTTTTGTTTGTGATTTGATTATTGTACATCTGTTTTAAATGTTCCGTTCTTGATGACATTTAGGCTTTGAAAAGGTTAATTTACAGAATTTGCAAGCTCAGTTAAATTACTAGTCACGTCCAATATTTGAATAGTCTCTTTACTGTTTTTTTTTTATATAACAGGATATAATGTTCTGATAAATTTCAGATCTGACATGAATACCAGGTTTCTTTATTGAGAAGGTGTCTTTTTTTTTGTACACAGGAAGGGCAAGAGGAGGATGTATGAAATGTCAGCAGACACATTCTCTTACGCTAGCTGTCAAAATGCTCTATGGCTTTTTAGCTTTACTCATCATTGCTGTGGCCGTCTTGGCAACCCTTGGTAAGATTTTACGGCACTGCAACACTATCACTAATAAATCGTGCTTTCAACACAATCTTTTTCTTGGTTACGTGATTGATCAAAGTCGAAAGTTAGATATAAAACCTGTTCTTGAATCAGCTATGGATCAAATTAATTTGAGGATTTCCAGAGAAAGGGAATGCAGGAAACCCTGATTTTCATCCATCAGACACCTGGTTAGAGCATGTAGCATGGGTTTTGATTCAGCATTATGCTCATAAAGTTAACAATCTCCAGATTTTATAGAAGCAGGCCAAAACCTCCACTTTCCCTGTGCGGAGCTGCAGTCTAATTCTCACGTCATGCGTGATGTTGTATGCCAAATCTGAATCTTTTGCCCCACTTACGAGGATTAAAGCATAACAAAAGTCAATAGTGAAATAACTACGAATCATTTACCTTCAAGACAATTACACAAGTTTCTTCTAATAATATTATGACATACAACAAACAAATCCATGTTTCAAATGCAATGGGCCTCCAACAGGAACTTTGTTAGCATTGTCTCACTGACAGGATGTAATTCTACCACATCAGGCCACAACATAGCTAAACTGTGGCTAAATAAATTAAGAAGAATGTTGTTTTGTTTGATGAAAAATATGATGACAAGATGATGGTTCATTGACAGAAAAAACAGGCCTAACTACAAGATATTTCAGAATAATGCCACACACATCTGTTTCATATCGCTTCAACTCCTCAAAAATGTTGTTAAAAGCAGTTATGCGTGTAATATACATGCTATTATGTTAAGGAATGTTATGTAGGAAGTGAATCTGTTTGCACAACTCAAGCATCCTGTTAGGTGACAAAGCAAGCAATGTCCTTTTAGCGCTTTAGCGCAGGTGACATGCAGACATGCAGCTGGAAAATAAATTACAACCACAAGCGAGGGTCCATTACACTTTACCAGTCCCCGTAGTCCAAGATTAAGTCTTGGTGTGTGAAGAAAGCTTCAGAAAAGAATTCCAAACCTGTGTATTCTCTAAGGAAACTGAGATCACTTAAAACTATTCCAATATTATCCAATGTCAAATTTTTTCATTAGAATGAGAAATTCATATTGAACATTTTTCTTGCTCGCTTGTTTGTTTGTTGTTCATCACTTAATTCTCTAAAATGGCCGTTTTAATATCAATAAATTTGTCATGTCAGTTTTCAGGAGAGTTGATAACTTATCTGAAGAGGAATCATTTTATCACAAACATATTTCCAAAGTCCAGGAGAGTATAAAAGGTAAGAATTCTTGTTTTATTATACATACAATTTTGGGAACTGCTTTTTTTTTTATAGATATTTTCACTTTTCATTTAAATTTTAGTTTAAGTTTTAATATTTTTATGATGTGCTTCTGTCATTTTTATTAGTTTTTTTTTTTATATTTCTACAAAGCTTAAAAAAAATGTTTTCAGTTTTAGTACTTCAGTATTCAGTATTTCGTTTTTCAGCTAATATTTGTATTTAAGCTTCATTTTAATTGTTTAATAGTTTTTGTTTTAGTTAACAATAAAAACACTGATCTACAACCGGAAAGTGAAGCTGCAAACCATGTTTTCACACAATCGCTTCTGTTGAAAATAGGCCTGCTGGATTAATCTAATTTGTTTATCTGATCTCTCGGTTCACTTCCTGTGGTCGGTGAACCCCTCAGAGAGTAAAAACTCATGAGAAATCATTTATAACTGAAATAATGACCTAAGAAACAGCTGTTTAAACACAATTGCATTTTCCTGCAGTGTATTTTTTGGTAACACTAACTATAAGTAACTTTGCCGCTACATGTCAACTAACTATCATTAGAGTATTAGTAGACTGTCAGCTTAATATCTGCTAACACTTTATTTTGTTGGTCCCCCAACAGACATTCAACTGGCTGTAAGTAACTTAGCAACTACAAGTCAACCTGTTCTCCTAACCTGAACCCTAACACCTAACCCTAACCTAACAGTCTACTGACAGTCTACTACAGTCTACTAATACTCTAATGACACTTAGTTGACATGTAGTTGAAAAGTTACTTATATAGTTAGTAGAATGTCTAAAGTGACTATCGAAATAAAGTGTAACCTATTTTTTTTATCAGCAATACAAGAGATTCATGGTTTGGTGGTTCTATTGTAGATATCAGCACTGCAAGCAACTATTCCAACTGCTTAGATGTTGCACAATTCCAAGAGGAGATAGCCAGACTGAAGAAGGAGTTTGAGGAGACCCAGAAGATGGTACTCGATCAAAAACAGCAGTTGGACCAGGCGATCCAGTCTCAGCAAAGTCTTACGCAAACCAGCAACAGAATGACGAGAGAGCTCCAGGCCTATGGAATCGTCATTAAGCGTATAAACCAGTCTGTGGGCCAATACCTGGATCAGGTAACAGGCTGGCAGGTTGTCATTAATGAAACAGAACAAGGGATGAAAACCCTAATTGAGGATCAGTATGATTTGAAGGCCACAATGCAACAAGTCAACACCACTGTTGCTCTTAGTGCGTCGTGGATAGGTGCTCTTCAGAGGAAGGCCGAAGAGGAGACCTTGGTGCTCCAAAAAATAACAGCGGACTGGCAGAATTACAGCAGAGTTTTAAGTGCCATGAAATCCAATGCCAGCGTAACCATGCAGACCGTGAGGGCTGTTCAAAGTGGCGTCTCTGCCACTCACCAGCGGATCAGCATGAGCTCAGAGATGGTGCATGACCTCACTCTGCAAGTCATGAACCTGCAGATGCAACTGGACAATGTCTCGTCTTACATCGACGAACACGAGGAGAACATGCACGACCACCAGTACCACACGAAGTACTACGAAAACCGGACCGGGGAGCGATTTGTGACATTGGATGCAAGGATGAACTCCATTGAAATGGAGATCGACACAGTTTCTTCCAGCATCAATGCAACCGTCAGCCATGTTCAGAGCATGTACAAATACATCAACATAGAGAGTTCCTCTTGCCAATCCAGACTGGGCAGTCACACTGAAGATTTGCAGAACTTAAACAACACAGTCCTGCTTCTTCTTCACCTAGCCGACACTCTCAGAATGCAGTACATGATGCTGAATGTGCGCCTCGAAGATGATGTGAGGAACCTATCATTGGTGATGGAGGAGATGAAGCTTGTAGACACCAGTCATGCAAAGCTGATCCAGAACTTCACTATTCTGAAAGGTTATTATCTACTTGTAGTGCCCTGAATGGCCACTGTCCTGCAGAGTTTGATTAGCATTGGGGGCTAAACTCTGCTGGATGGTGATCCTCTAGTGCCATATTTGAAGAGCCCTGCTGTTGTGTCTAAATAGCTTAACTTGCATTTTTTTGGATTCTTAATAGGTATGCCTGGTCCACCTGGTCCAAAGGGAAGCAGGGGAGAATCGGGAGCCAAAGGACCACTAGGTGTATCTGGACTGAAAGGAGACAGGGGACTTGCAGGAAATCGTGGACCTCAAGGATTAAAGGGCGCTATGGGAATTAAGGGGGATCAAGGTTTGCCAGGAGTTTCTGGAATGAAAGGTGGGCCTGGACTTAAGGGAGAAAAAGGGTCTTTAGGGCAACCAGGGCCTCGTGCTGAAAAGGGGCTGAAGGGTGATATGGGGGTTCCTGGGAAGGACGGAATTCCTGGCCCCAAAGGACCGCCAGGAATCCGGGGACAAGCCGGACTCCCAGGGGTACATGGACCTCCGGGACCGGTAGGAATACAGGGCGCTGTAGGACCACCGGGGCCACCTGGAATACCCGGTCCACCAGGGGAGCCTGCTCAGAAGTCATGAACAGATAGACATACAACTTAAAAATAACCCAAATGGTGATACACTGACTGCCTTTCTGGATACGGTTATGATGTTTCTTGCAGTAGAATGGTGGTGGACGTCAACTTGGAGATCTGTCTCTAAACAAGACGATGGTGGGGACTCTTTGGAATCTTAGAGGCCCACATGCACATTCCCCAAAAATGAAGCTTGCTCTGAACAACGATACACTATGTATAGGCTTTCAACACAAGAAAAGCGCTCAAACACAATTCTGTAAATGAGCCACTTCACCACAATCTTGTTTTAACAATCAATAGAGCCAGGCTTCTATGAAACCATATCCATTGGACTTAATAATTCGCCAGCATCAGCATTTGAAGACAGATAAACATTCGACAAATCATACTTTTGCTTTTTATGGAGTGTATGTATTAATAGAGCAACGTTTTCCATTTTGTATTTGCATTATAGTACAGCAACATTTTCCACTTTGTATTTGCATCATAATCCCAGAACATTCAGAGCAGGTACTCTGAAACATGATTTTTATTATGGTTTCAAGTAAACCAAATATTTTCACTCATCAACGCAACGGTATTCTTGGTACAAAATTGATAAAACACTGCGAAAAGTATGATGAACTCATTGCATTGCATTGCATGAACCCTCAAAAACCTTTACAGACAATTTTTTTTTTTTTCATTCATTGGAATTGAACAGTGAAACTTCTAAGTTTTTATGTTCATATTGGTTTGATTTTCCAATTTGTAAGTATGGATAAGTTTAACGGAAGTAATTTTAAGCGTTGGTTCATGTGTCTGAGGAGGACTTCATGATGTGTTTGTGTTGCCATACAATTTATTCTCTGCACAACAATAAAGGTTTATAAGAATGTAAATAAGAGGGGGGCATTTTTGTTTAGCATTTTTAACTTCACTAAACAAGTAATGTACCATTTCATTACTGCTTTGGTCATTTTATAGTAAAATCATGGAAAAAATAAGAGAAATGACTTTTCATGATAAGCTATCAACCCAGCAATACACTTTTTTTTTTTTTTTTTTTTTTTTTTTTTTTTTTACATTTTACAATGTTGCATTTGAAAAAATGCCAAAAAACTCTATAATATATAAAAAACAAAGCAAATGTGCAGTTTATGGATTTGAATGACCAAAAGTGATCAGTATTAAACTGCAACTTTTTATACAACCTAAATAAATCATTTTGGAAACATAGAATACCCAGCTGGACGTTTTTTTCTTTATTCTTTTCTCTTTTTTGTTTTATTTTACCTCAAGGGCATCCAAGATGTAGGTGTTTTGATATTTTTAGGTCAAACTGTTCTTGTCTGTCAGTCATATAATCCAGGTCTATGGTCACCAACTCAAAGAGCATGCACAGAGAAGTCGAAGACCGAAGCACCCGTGCCTTCAGATCACTTGGACGTGGCTGTGGTTACAAGAGGTAAAAACTATATTCGTTTTTAGTATAGTTTTTATACTTGTATAGTAGTTATAGTGTTAAAACTATAACTACTACTTGTTTTCTCACACAAACTCATTTCATGTCTTAGGCCATCAATGTGTACTTATAGATTTATGAGTCATTCAATCATGTTTAATTTGGATTCCTCTGTGCATGCTCTTAAAGGTGGACCCCATAAACCCCCATTATATGACTGACAGACAAGAACGGTTTGACCTAAAAATATCAAAATTGAAACTACAGCGGAAACAAAGACACCTACATCTTGGATGCCCTTGAGGTAAGCTAAAACATACCTCAAATTAATTTCAAAGAGAACTATCACTTAAGTAAATGTAAAGCATCACAATAATGTGTTTTTATTTCACAAACAATAGCCTATACCAAACTGCAGTATTTATGTGATGTTTTATTTAGATGTTAAAACAACTTGTGCCAGCTGCATAGTGTTGCACATGGTGATGGGAAGACTCTGTGATATCTGAATACTGGCAAGCTTAAACAGTTTCCATATGTGACAATAAATCATCATCATAGTTACGGTGAAAATGTCAGCTCCATTTGATGGATTATTACATGGCTCATTTCAACAAAGAGAGCAAATCAAAAGCAAGTGCAAAGCTAAAATAAGATCTATGATCAAAAGTCTGTCTACCCCATCACTAATGTTAGAACGCAAAGTCTGATTAGCATGTCACTGAATGTTTCATCTCGTGATTATGGCAATGAGTTGTTTTTTTTATGTATAGTTTAGTTTTACTTTCTCTTATTGTATCATGGCTAAGTTGTAATAAGGAAACAAACTATTAGCATTAGATGATTGACATTTGAATGTGGTGTTAGATCACTAATTTCTAGTAATTCCCAGTCCCTTTTGTTTCTTTAAGAAATTTGTTTATTCCTCAATCCCATTATTTCTTTCTCAAGTTCAGTACTGTGCAAATTGATCTTCAGCTTTCATTTACAGCTTGCTGATTATGATCAAATCAAAAAAAATTCGATCCAGAAAACTTGTGTACCAAATAGCTTTTCAAAGGAAATTGATTCCTTGTGGGAATGACAACATAATAGTAACTGTGTGGGAACCAGCTGAATCGTTAAACCTCAATGGCAACAGCTATAAGCTTCAAATATTCTAATGAGTTCCAGTGGAACTAGATTTTGGTTGCCTGTGTATTTTGTGACTTTGGCATGTAGAAAGCAGAGGGAGCCAAATAAATATTCAAGCAAGATGTCTACCCCTATAGAACCCTGCAATGGTTGTAGGCAAGTGGATATGATATCATGCTCTGGGGCATTTGAATATTGAATATATTATGAATTTATAATAATAAAAAATGATAAAACGTGAGTGATGCTATTTTGGGAAATAGTTGCTAAGCTGTTCTGAGTGTTTTAGTACATTATCATGCAGTTGCAAAGCTATTATGGCTTATTGCTGTGCACTTAATTGGGTGTTTTTTAATGGAACACTCCGACTTTTTGGGACTTTAGCCTATTCACCTTACCCCCCAGAGTTAGATAAGTCCATACATACCTTTTTCATCTCCGTGCGTGCTATAAGTCTGTTTGACGCACCCACCGCTAGCCTAGCTTAGCACAAAGACTGGATGTGAATGGTTGCAGCTTTCATACTAATCCAAATGAGTGACAAAATAACGCAAACGTTTTCCTATTTACATGTTGTGGTTTGTATAGTCACAGACTGTACAAATAAGAAGGCCATATGAGACACAGACATCTTTTAACCGTATAAATACTATATTTTCTGAAGGCGAAGCACTGCTACTTGGGCAGAGTGATAACCATCACCTGAGACGCACCGTGACGAGGAGCAGAGTGTTCGCTCAGTGTTGGAATAAAGAGTCAGCAATTAATAACGTTAGATAGAAAAGCATAGTTTATCACGGGTGTTTGCTTTATTGTATGAGCTGTGACAATAAACAGGGGAGAGCAGGTAATAGTAATACAGTACCATGTTTCATTGATTTCCAACCAAAAACGCACCCAGATTTATAAATATCACATGAATAAATAATTATTATTACAGGAATCAATATATTTTAAATGCAATTTATTAGCTGAACCAAATGTATTCAACAGTATATAATATTGTAATAACTGGTAGCTATCCAAATAAAACGTGAGTCTAACCGGAGCTAAATTAGGCTAATAACACTTTTACTAAGCTAAATCCTAAAATGAGATAAGAACACTCATGTCCCATACACCGCACGACCCAGAGTGTTTACACATCAACCAACAGGAGGCAGTAACACCGTTTTTCCACTTTTAATGCAGAACAAAGAAAGAACTACTCAGGCAGGGCCCTATTGCCTTACACATCTCTCTCAACAACGGTGAGGGACACATTTTTACATTAGGCAGTAAATGAACCAAGAACATCTGATCAACTTGAACATTACACACATAACTTTACTATAACAACAACTTAAAGATCTTGCTGTAATAACACATAAATCAACTCTCAATAAACAATTACCCATAATGCACCCAGCTGCTAGCGCTGACTGCCAGGTCATTACAATAACCCCCACCCAAGAGGGTTAGTGTCCCCACAACCCTAATCTCCCACAACAAAATCTAACAAATGTCCCGGCCGGCGTCGAACACGCTTCAACCTCCCCTGTGAAACGCCAGGCTCAGCCTTGAGTCCATCATTGTCCGTTTCGGCGCTGGGAGGGGATTTTGGGGAGTGACTGTGGCCTTCATCAATCTTTTGCTCTGGGGCCAGAGGGTGGTATGGAGCCAATCGGTCCTTATGAAGTACCACCCGTCTACCCCGTCCAGGCATTCGGACCCGGAAGACCACCTCGGAAATTTTGTCCAAAACCTCCCCAGGTCCCTGCCAATGATGAGTCAGTTTGGGTGACAACCCAAACTGGGGGCAGAACACCCACACTTTGTCCCCGGGCCCAATCGTAGGCCCGTGGGCCCGGGCATCGTATGCCCGTTTCTGGCGGGCTCCAGCGTCCCTCAGAGCCTCCCTGGCCATTTGATGGACCGTGCTCAGACGTTCCTTCAATTTCCTGAAGTAATCCAATTCTGGCCCGCCAGTAATGTCTGGCTCGGGGGGTGACCCGAACACCAAGTCCACTGGCGTGCGGAGCTCCCTCCCAAACATCAGTGCCGCCGGTGTGCACTGACTCGACTCCTGCACAGCTGTCCTATATGCCCACAGTACCAGAGGCAGATGCTGATCCCAGTCTCTCTGGTGCTGACTGGTCAAGATGGCAAGTTGGGTGGCCAGGGTGCGGTTAAACCGCTCAACAAGTCCATCGCTTTGCGGGTGGAGGGGAGTGGTTCTTGTCTTCTTCACCCCCAATCGCTGGCACACCTCACTGAACAACCGGCTCTCAAAGTTACGCCCCTGGTCACTGTGAAGTTCATCCGGCACCCCAAACCGGGCAAACATCTCGTCCACTAGTCGCTGCGCCGTAGTGGAAGCACTCTGATCTGGCACTGCATATGCCTCTGGCCATTTCGTAAAATAGTCCATAGCGACCAGGACAAAACGGTTACCAGCATCTGTGATGGGAAATGGACCCAAGATGTCCACACCAATCCTCTCCATAGGTGCCCCGACTAGGTACTGTTGTAATGGCGCATGAGAGCGTTGACTGGGTCCCTTCTGTGCCGTGCAAATATCGCAGCAATGAACATACATCTCTGTATCCTGCCGACATCCCGGCCAGTAGAAACGCTGCCGCAGCCGCCGCACTGTCTTAGAGTTTCCGAAATGGCCGGCTCCCGCTGCCCCATGAACCCAACGGAGGACCTCCGGCCGCAGAGCGTGGGGAACCAGGAGTTGCAACCGGTCGATCCCCCACCCGGCGCCTGCCACCGCCTATAGATCACGCCATCGTGGAGCTCCAGGCTGCCCCACTGAGAATGAAGCGTCTTGATCTCGGGCCCCTGGGAGGACACAGCTGGCCAGTCTGGACATGTTTGGGCCTCTAACCAACCCCTGACCTTCATCAGTACCTGATCATTCGCCTGTTGTTGCCTCAGCTGCTCGGTGGTGAACGGCTCCCCATCTCCACGGGTGTCACCCGGCCTTACTGCTGCTGACGATGGCTCCAGACATCGTTCTTCCTGGCGACTGCAGTATCGACATTCGTCAGCAAAGCATGGACGTCTGGAGAGGGCGTCAGC